TTTTTTAAATATCTTTTAAAAAACTCATGTGCATGTTGTAATATTTTAAAAATCCTATAAAATCTCTAAAATCTCTAAAAACATATACTGGTTTTTAATAAAAATATTAAATAAATCCCAAAAAAATCTTTAAAAAATAAAAATTTATCTCCGAAAATTTTTAAATTTAAGAAACAACCTTCAATGAGTTGTAACTTTGGATTTTCTTCTTGATTTAGCTTCAAATATTTTAAGCTATTAGATATGTTAGTTTTAAATAAGTTTATAAATTTTAAAAAGATCCAACTTACAAATTGAAAGAACAAACCAAAGAATTGTTCAACCACTACTGGAGTTTTTTATCAAAGTAATTAAATTTAAAATACTACATCTTATATTAATTATAATCTTTTTAATCTTTTTAATTCTATATTAAATTTTTTTTATTCAACATCTAAATAATTGATCATAAAATTTTAAAATTTTAAAACTAAAATATAATTTTAGAATAAATCCTTTAAATATAATTAGCTATAATCTATAAATAATAAATATATTGAACCTATTTAAAAATTAGGTTTCACAAATAATTACCTAATATATAATTTTCTTATTAAATACCAAGAAAAATCTAGTGAATAAAGTGTGTTTAGTTTGAAATGAGAATTTCTATTATTATCCTGTTTTTATCTGTTTTTTTCTTTTTTTCTTCTTTTTTTCTTGTTAATTGTGGTTCTTGTTTTATACTACTAATTAAAATATTGATTAAAGGAATTTTATAATTTACATTGAAGAATTTTTTTAACCTTTTATATATTAATTCAACAAATTTTAAAATTTTAAAATTCCACTTTAAATTTTATTTCTATACTATTAGTTAATATATTTTTGATTCTACATAGTACACTTGAGATTGATAAGGAACATATTAGTCATTAAAATTTAAAATTAACATATATTATAAAATTTATTTAGAAAGAATCGAATTATTATTATTTGAAGCTAATAAATGACTAAATAAATTAAATAAGACGAGAAGTTGGATGAATTTTATAGATTTTATGAATCTTCTAAAATAGATAAAAATTTATCGAGAATAAATTTCACTTCAAGATAATCAGAATTAGTAAAAAAAAATATATGTAAATAAATAAATAATAATAATACTAAAAATAAATAATATCTTAGCATGTTAGTAGATTATTTTTTAGAGATCCATAAGGTCATTAATAAATAAAATTCAACTTTCGTTTTTTTCTTCTAAAATGAAAGTAAATATTGTTCCAAAATAAAGCAACTATAATTTGCACCAATTTACAATCTATAATAAGTAATATTTTCTACTATAATTTATTTATTTTAAGAATTTTAGCAATTATGGAGAATTAAATCAAATTAAGAAAATATAATATTTTATGCATTAAGGTAAGAAAAAACCTATAAAGTTTCTTAAAAAATTAATTAGAAAGATTCTAAATAAATTGATATGATCTTTAATATTAAAAATGCTCAAATTACTTTTTAGCATCTGAGAATTAATATATTTCATACATTATTAGATATTTTTTTTCACTTTTTTCATTTTTATTTTTTATGTACATAATATTTTATTTATTTTAAGAATATATTAGGGCATAAGAAAAAAAAAATTATGCATTGCAAAAACTTAAAAATTCATAACATTATATAGTAAGATAAAAAAAAATATGAATTGTGGATAGCTTCAAATAAGGTTTTTAAGACATGTCATTTAAAATGAAAACCTAAAAATTGACTCTAAAAAATAATATAAAATAATTAATTTGATAAAATTGTATAAAAAACCAGAATAAATTGAAGGTACAAAAAAATTAGTTTTAGATTTTAAAATAATACTTACTAAAATTATTTACATTTGCCATTCAGATTTTTAAATTTATGTTTTATAAAATAAATTGAATTATGATTTATTAAAATTGCAAGTTTATGAAAAATATTTTCTAAAAGAACATAAAATATTCTCTATTGTCTTATTTTATTTATTTTTGTAAACATAGATTGGATTTATAGATGAGCCATGTAGCTACAAAAACTTTCCAAATAAGTCTTACCTTTTTGACCTTTAGTTCAGAAGTCTTTTGGTTTTTAAAAAAATCTACACGGTTGTTTTATTAATTGGTACATATGGAGACAAGACTAAGACAGTTTTTCATTTTTTTGAAATATATTTGCACTCCAATCTTGATTAAAAAGGCTCTTTACTTTTTTGCTTAATAATGGTATAAATGCAGTGGCTTCTTTTCTTATAAGTATGTTTATTTTTAATCTTGTCTATTTTTTTTAGTTGTATATGAATAGGTCTTCTTTTAAAATATTTTGTCTAAATTTATGTTCTTATGATGCATAAATTAGAAGTCAAAACAACATTCAATACCAAGACAAATTATTCACAAATATTTTTTTGACTCTTTTTATATAAAAAATTATATAGACTTATTTTTCCTTAAAATAAGTAAATTTAGTAAATAAATAAATAAATTATACTTAAATAAATTAAAAAGTATCAAAATGATTTTTTAATTATAAATTAGCCTAATTGATACTAAAATATGTTTTCCAAAAATATCTATAAGACTTTAAATTTATAAAATTAATATTAAAATGATTTAGTTTTTTTTACCATTTTAAAAGTACTCATAAAATGGAATTTTACTAACTTATCAAAAATTTTATAGGTAGAATATTGTTTTTTTTGTATCACCAATATTTTTATATCTCTACTTCTTATAGTTTAATATGTATTTTTTCTAATTTGAAGAGTAATACTACTTTATTATTATGAATTTTTTCTTCTGTTTTTAGGACCCCATGACATCTCATGAAAAAAGGAGCAAATTTAAAGTACATAGACAATCGTAACCTAGTGACCCAATGCTTAGACGTTGAAAGGCTCCCCTCTGTTATCTGCAACAGGAATTTTCTCAGAGCTGCTTTAAACTCATAGATATGGGACTTGGAACTTGTTACAGTCAATGTGCTGAGCAAAATGGCCACTTCATTCTCCTCATATGATGTTTTTAAAGTAATATGCTTTTTGCTGATAAAGGAACGGCTCTTTCAGGAAGTCATTTGAGAAAGTAGTTTAAGGAATCCCACGATCTTACTCCAATCTCAAAGCATCTGATCAGGTAGGATGGTAGACCTCACATACCCACCGTTCAAGAGAAGCTGGATTGAACTTTGCTAAACGTTACGTTTCACCTCGAATGCCGTGGCGCTGTAACCAACGATGGTCCCTTGTACCAAAACATGAACAAATCGAGACAGCCAGCAACAGTGGAAGTAGTTGATCTGGAACTGAGAAAAGAAGTTGCGTGACGCCAACAGGTTGCCCCAGGTGATGCAGTCTCGTGAGAACACATTTCAAATGCATGGGAGCGTGGCTCTAACAAGCCGAGCACTAGTGAAGGATTGGGAAGTAAAGGTGACATGAAGTAGGTGTGCACTCCATGCGGTTTTGAGGGAAAAAAAGCATCTTGTTTGAATTTTTACATCTGCCGTTCTTTTCGAGGTAAACTAAAGCATGAGAGCAGCATTCAGAAATCCGAACTGACTTTACAGTGTTTTCAAAACCCAGTTTGATGAAAAATAATGGTGAAATGTCATTGACTTCTCACAAAATCATACAGTAGAAACTTCTTCCTCCAATTGAACCAAAACTCCTTTTTATTGAGAATTCTAAAAACTCATTTTAGTTAATTTTGGATTTCTTTGCAACGTTCCTTAACACCCACTGAGATGAAACAATGTCCACCTGTGAGACCATCACATGGTTTTGGCGTTTTTCACTTTTTGAGATAGTCTCAATCCTCTAATTACGCAACACTGTGAGGTCTGTCGAAGATATTTTTTGAGATAGCTCGTGTAGCAAATGGCAGTAGTAGTGGCTGAAACGTACCCACATCAGGGGGGTATGATATAGATTCTTCCACTTCGAGCGCAGAGATGGTTGTAAGGAACCACAAGTGTGTTCTTGATGTTGAAATCAAGGATGCCTCTCGAAACAGACTCTTGGTTATGTATTCTTTTTCAAGAGTTGCTTGCATGCTTCCCTTGATAGCATGATTGTGCCGAGGCACACCAAGCCAAAAGAGCACAGGAAGCGATTTTGTGGATACCATCCTTGTCAGTGTTCAGTATGTGGATGTATCTGTAAAGATCTTGAAGCAGATGTTTCCCCTGTTCATTGATCTCAACTTGAAAAAGTCGACTAGTAAGGAGGAAGTCATACAAGATGGCCAATGCTTCAGCAGTGGAAAGTCTAAACAGAGAAGATTGAAAGAGGGCCGTCCTATTTTCTAAGCTCCTTCATCCGAATCAGGATTTGGTCTGTCATTGAACGTTTTCAATACAAACAAGTTTGCATATTTTATGTATAAGAGCTCTCATCCTGTGTCTCTTCGCGGTATGTAATATGTATTTGATTGACAGTGCTTGGCTAAATTCCGATTCAAATGCTCACTGCGCTGACTTAACAGTAAACCAGGCAACAAAAGTAAAATTACTCGTGATGGTTGTGTGATTGGCTTTCAATGTGGCAGCAGATTTAGCGGGTGAGACTCGGTGCAACATGTTGCCTTTGTTCTGCATCAAAAATTTCATTTCAACATGAACAATTGTGTAGTTTGACATCCATATTTACAAACCATTTACTCAGTCTCTGTGACCTAGTCTAACACGTGATGAATGTTATACCGTGATTATGAGTTGTACCATTTACCAATCCAATAACTATGAAGCTTAGAATTTCAGGAACCAGTGCAAAATTTAACTTGTTCGGTAGGTTCGGATGTGCCACGTATTTTCGACTTCATGCGTGGTTATCCTCATCTCCCGGTTTCAAGCAACCCTGAGAACGTCTCACTGCAGAGATTGTAGAGTTCCTCTTGGATTCACAGTATAGCATCACTTCAACACAATAATATGCTGGAGTGTGCACTGTGCTTCAGAGAAGTTGTAACTCAACCCCTAAGTGCCTCGACTTTGGCAGAAACTTGTTTAGCTTTTTTTAAAGAACAGAATTGGCGGCAAACGTAAGTTCTCCGTCAAATTTAGTTACACCTCTCAGTAAAAGAAGAGAGTATTTCCAATGCCCAACATGTGCGTGCATACCTTCCAATGTTGGCATCGATAAAAAGAGCAACATAGAATGTAGATCCTAATTAACTCGCGTCGGTCTGTTAGTATTGAAACGATGACTCACGACAGTAGAGTTGTCAAACTGTCCATGAAAACTTGTGAAGTTCTTCCGTTCTAACCGTCTACCTGCCATTCACCGGAACGACGAAGCACCGGTTGCTAATCAAGCATAAAACCAAAATTATCGAACGTAAATTTTGAAACTGTCAACAAAGAAGTGCACCAACAGACATGAGTTCTATGAAATTCAAAGGCATCCATTTGGAAGCTAACAGAGTGTGTATTGAGCAGTAGCAGGATTTCAAAGCTTTATGCGTAACACAATCAAAGTAAACCTGTTCAAAAACTTTCATTTGGTCTATGGATCTTAAGAATCAATGCCTCGAGAGTACCTCCACTTTGCTGAGGCCTCTCATATGTACATCCTCGTTGCTTTTTTAACGCTAACCGACCGCTCAGCTTTCTCAGTAATGTCAAAGTATCGAAAATGACCTGTATAGGACTCGTAACGTCCTGCAGAGTAATAATACAACTTTTACAAATGAACTCACACCATGAATGACACTGAAAACAGGAATAAGTTCTCCTATCTAGAGTGGTGTAGCTAATCACTGCCCTGAGTTGAGGGTTCTCTGTCTGGGTCGGCACGACCCCAACCCCGACTGCAATCTCGATCTCAATCTCGATCCTAATCCCGATCGCGAACTTATACTGATGGAATAATCGTTGACGAGTTGATGGTTTTCCTATCTCATCCTGACGGTATAATTGTTGGTGAGTTGTTCAGTCGATCTCTCCCTCTGGGTGTGTGCTCCACCGGTTCATGCTCCGCTAAGCTCTCCCTCTGCAAGAACGTTATCAGCATCTTCTTACTTGAGTGAGTCTGGTAAGCAGTACTATTGTGCAGTATGTATTCTAAAGCGAGTGAGGCGAAGGAAGAGGCATCGAATCTGGAAGAGGGAGAATCTTTAACACAGCTGTTTGAAACCAATGGATTTTACTATGAAAAAACATCTTGCGAAGGTTTGAGTCACCTTTCTAGCTCAGACTTACATTCGCTAAGTGGCCCAAGGTGTGGCACAGCACACTAACGCACCGCTTTGAGTAAGATCCGTATTGGTCGTCCAAGGATGATCACGATCACGATCACGATCTGAATCTCTCCAATACTGTCCAGTTTTGGAGGGAATCTTCCGTTTTGTTGCCTACGCATCCATCCATTCAGTGAATTAAACTTAGACCCTATTTATGCAGCAAGGAATGTCAATCACTTGCCGGCACAACACCGACCTCTGTACCGACCGCTTCTCCACACACACAATTCTACAAGAAACTTGAAGTTGGTATCACACGATTAGATTGAAGCCTATATGAAGGGTTTATACCACAGAAACGACTTCCCACTCTCTTCGCATCTTTTTACCATGAATATTGAACTTTCACAAGTACCACCGAAAACGAGAATGATACAGAGCTAACAATGTGTTACAAGTGAACCCTTGCTATCAAGATTAAGCAGGTTCTAAGCAAAACCTTATAAATCAGAAGGTATGACTCGGACGACAGAATCTCTTTTTAAGATGTATTGGACGAGCCAAAGATGGAGTTTGTACCAAGCTTTCTGGAAGAGGAGACCTGTCACCCTCGTATTCGATCAAAACACGCCCGAACTCGTCCTTCAGTGCGAGGTACTCTACACAGAATGGACCTTGGTGTCTTCGAGGATCATGCGAAGGAAGAGGGTGTCTACTGATAATGGGAGGAGTTCGCAGGGTTACGTGCCACTCCGCAATCAACTTCATATCATCGTCTACAGTGAATTCACGGCTGCTCTTTGCATTGTACCACCACAGGCCCTTCTTCCACAAGAAAGCGCCATTTAGGGTTGCTTCAATCTTATTCAACCCGAAGTTTTTTGGAGTCGGCCAGATTTTGCACCTCAAAGCAATCTTCTGGTTGTTTCTGACGGTGCACCTTACAAGAATCGTGTTATCTATGATGTCATATGAAGATAACCTGCAAAAGCAACGCTACATGGTTGGCAAAGCTGTTTTAGGCTTCCTATAATGCATTAGCTTCCAGTCTTACGTGTTCCGGAGAGCTGCTAAAGAGCTTTCTGTCAAAAATAAATAAAAATAAAAAATAAAATAAAATAAACGGTGTAATTAACACCAGCAAACGACAGGAGCGAAGAGAAGAGAGAAGAGAGCTTACCAGTTGCTAGTCTGAATCGGTAGCGATGGCACTGTCGGTAGCTGTGGTGGAGGAAGTGGTCGCAGCAGTAGTTGACGATGTGAAATGGAAGTAAGGGAACTCAAACCGGAGCCATTGCTCATCAAAGATGTCATATCCAACGTCGTCTGCAGAGAAGCAAAATCTTACTGCTGTGAGACACCAATTTTCGTGGACTTAAGCACATGAGCTGCTCCTCAAGGGAAATTGACCATGAAGAATTTGAAATCTGAAAGAGACACTGCTAGAAGTTAAGAAATATTACATCCAGACTGCTGCATTCGGAGCTGGAGACTTCCTTGCCGTTGGCATTGTGTAGCCATACGACCACGTCTTTCATGCTGGGCCGATCCTCTTGCCGGTCTTGGACGCACGCTTGGGCAACTTTCACCACTTCATGCAGCTGCTCTTCAGAGTACTCGTTGCGGAATATGCACATGTCAACCATGTTGCGGACGTTATGCCGCATTATGACCGGGTCTGGCTGGAAGAAGGAGTCCTTGCACCAATTCACAAGCGAAATCCCCTGATGAATGGCGCGACGGCCAGTGATGAGCTCCAACAAAACTACACCATAGCTGTACACGTCGTTCTTGTCGCATGGCGTGCCATTATGGAGGTATACAGGATCGACATAGCCATGGGTGCCGCGTACACGAGTGGACACTGTCACCGGATGGTCCGAGGGCAACGGCTTGCTGAGCCCAAAGTCTGCAAGTTTCGCATGCATTTCCTCGTCGAACAGAATATTTCCTGACTTAACATCCCTGTGCACGAGCGACGGGCTCGCATGGCTATGGAGATACTCTAACCCCTGTGCAACCTCAGCTGCGCACTGCATGCGAGCTTTCCAACTCAACACCATCCCTCCATTTCCAGGTTCGAGCTTGGATTTTATATGCAGATACTGATCCAAGGAGCCTGCCCCCATGTACTCATATACCAGAAACAAATCGTCTCCCTCAATGCAATAACCAAGTAGTGCTACAAGGTTGCGATGGTGCAGCCGCGAGATTGTGCTGAGTTCCGCCCAGAACTCCTTCTCTACCACTTCCTGACTGCGATTCTCGACATTATGGAGCAGCACATTGCTTCCATTTTGCAACCGTTTCACCGCCAGTGGGCGTTGAATGAGTTCGTCGGCGAGCGACTTCGCAAAGTAGACCACCCCTTGTCCCCCTCTCCCGATCTCTTTGCTAAAATTCATAGTCATCTCCTCCATCTCCTTCAAGGTGTATGCTCTCACTGCACCCACGGTCGATGATCGAAGAAACCGGGGGCTGTTGCTTGTAAGCGTCGTAGACGAAGAGGAAGGTGGCATGTTTGGCTCCAACTCGACAATATCCTTCGATGAGGACGTCACAGCCGATTTTTCTAATTTCTGGGTTGCCCTCCAAAACAGCCCCGTTGTCACGCCTACAACGAAGATCATAAACCACGACAACAAACTGCTGATGTTATCCATGCCGCGACCACGAAACACGAGAGTCCCCTGGTTACCTCCTCGAATCTTACCACATAGATCATCTGGTTCCTGCGACCAGGACGGCGACTTGTTGAAGTCGATGCCAGAGTCGCTGCTGTACAAGCCCACATCTTCGCTCAGTTGCGCCATAGCCATCATGCTCGAAAGCATCCAAGCATTTTCTCCCGCCCATCGCCACGTCCGCCAAGCCTCTCTAATCAAAGCTTTTACCATCGGCGGCAATTTTTCAAAATCCTGCGATCCTACTCGCATAGACAAGCTCCTGAACATCTCCCTCAGAGTTTCCTCCAGGGATTCCAACCCCGTTTCCGCCACTTTGAAGGATTTTCCCTCCACCCTCTTCTTAGTCTAGCCTTCACGACTACAGCTTCCGCCTTTTTTCCGCCTTTCACCTCTCCTCCACTCCTCCCACTATTCTAAAAGCATCCTTTGCCCACACCCTCACATCACACTAGATCGCACAATTCACTACGACAATTTTTCTTCAGTGACCTGACGTCGACTCTGTGTCGCTCTTAGTTGGAGAAACTTGAATCTAGAGTGGCGTTTAGTGTTGGTGTCTTTGCAACTCCAGGACAGCAATTCAACCCCCAAGCAACTCTATTATGCTACTGCACCAAAGCTCTCCTCTCAGCTACTTCGCAATCATTAACTCTTCACCTCACTCCACTTACTTTCGATCAGCATCTGGCAACCATCACATTGATCAGACCCTACCGCTAAATTCTGGCTCTATACCATTCCCATCAAACTCTTCTTCTGACAACCTCCTGGTGCGTCCGCCTTCAGTCTTCCTCATACGCACAAAACAAAGAATCTTAACAATGCTGAGTGGAAGGTAAAAATCATCTGAGCTCTGTGTGCAGATCCACACCTGGTCCCCACCCACCTGTGTGAGCTGTGATTACGACCAAAGATCGAATGAATCCAAGGAACGGATTGGTTTTCCAACCGCCGAAAGATGATGCCGAAGATGGTGACGTAATAGTGCGGGGACCGAGTCACCCAGAGTCCATCGGAATGATTGACAGCATGCATTTTATTAGTTGCAAATTAATACCTTCGATTGTGCATCCAAATCTCTCACATTTCTCACCACGCTCGTAGACCAATCACACGTTGTTTATGAAGTGGTGCAAAGCTCATCTGAATGAAACTCTGGTCTTACGTGTGCAAAATTACTATCATGGCCAGTGCTATTATATCCATATTTGGAAAACTCTTTCGAAAACTTTGGAAACGTTCTCGATGAGCTCTATGCCCAGCCTAGATGCAGCTAATACGATTGGTCTCAACATCTGAGCACCTCAAACGAAGGTCTTTCGTAGATAATAGGTGACTTTGGATGGTGGCGATCGGCTAAGCGGTGATGAACTTGATGTGTCTTGGACTTCGTGCCCGCTTTATCATCGTTGTTGGTCATTACGGGGATGGTTCCTGAATAGATTGGGTGTTTAGAGTGAGCTATATATATTGCGATTGGGTGTTTAGAGTGAGCTATACATATTGCGATTGGGTGTTTAGAGTGAGCTATATAGAATTCTCTGCAAATTTATACGCCACTTTGAGAGTTGTTAGGTCTTGGTTTTCTGCTTAATCCATAAACGATTCGCCCAGTTACCACCAGCACAGGAATGTGGTCGCACCAATTTGAGTACGTAGAATATTCTTGGAAGTTAGGTTGGTCATTCTGCCGTTATTAATAATGTCATCAGATTCTAGTTCTATACCCGTTATCATTGGTCCCATCCCCTTGACGCTCGAGTGATATTTATTTATATTTTTTGCAAACTCGATCAGGCTAGAGGTCAAAGTCATGTTCCGCTTTGACCTTGGGGAACTGTCGTGGTGCATTTCCATTTTGCAACTTGCTCACGAAATCAGCAAAGTTACTTGCAAATCCGAATTCCAATAGAATGCGACAAACCTGTATTCTGCCCGATAAAATTGTATTCAGTAAATTAATATTGATCACTATTACAGATGATAAATGGTTTTTTCGTGATTTGTGCACGGTGTGCTCCAAGTCACCCCGAAGGCCCAATCTATAACCAAGGAACATTTTCTTTATAGATAGCTGTATCATTTACAGATTGGAATAATGTAAATTAACGAAAGATTTACAGATTCACAAGGTTTACGAGCTTTGTTTACTGAGATAAACAGGTTTAACTTCTATCAAATCATGTCCAATAATTACAAATTGGAGACCATAACGAAGTCGGTCAGTAAGTTGCAGCATTAACTGCTAGTGGATTACAAGTTCAGTTGCCATGGGACATGGAATCAGACCATGAGACCGTCAAGTTTTTTTTAGATAATGCCATCACATGCAAAGAGAAGCCTCAGAATATCAAACCATTAAAACGGAGCAACGGAACAAGTAATATTCACTTGCAACGACAATGTGCTCCGACGTGAGGGTGTTGCTCAGCAAATATCCACAAGCAGTAAATACAAGAGCAAGTGAACAAATATCTCCATGAAGATGCTGATTCTCGGATTGTTGAAAGAGTGGGCAAGATTACCTGGTTCTCAGTATTCTATTATAATTGGAGCCTTGACCACGTCAGATTGAGTGAAATGGTCTAAGCTAGCTCATTGTGGGTAACAGCCCCGACGGCATTGATTGAGGATGAATAGGATGATGTGAAAGAGAGGCACATCCGTTGACGAAATCGTCTGGAATCTAGCAATATGGTAGGAGAAAAATAAACAAATTCATGCAATATTTATGGAGCCCTCGAAGCCTGCAAACCTCTACGTACAGGCTAGAAAGATGATCACGAGTCGTAAAGCTGGAGGTAAGACTAGTTGTGTTTTTGACAAACAGAGTATCGGTGGTCCGTTTTTTACGACATCTTTGGTCCCACAAGATGATCTACATTACGTATTCACCGAAATAAAATTTTGATATCTAAACCACCATGGTATGGTTCGTCCAAAAGTGCCAACACTCGCGCAATTTTCAAATCCATCCATGAGCATTGCATACTCAGTGAACGTCACTCAAAACCTGTGTCCCGAGCACTCAATTACTTGCAAATAGCTGGTCCACGACATTTTCCCGAAATTCCTCTGCTTATCAACGGTTGTGGCGGAACGAATCGCTATTTTTGACAATGCCGATAATCCAGCAAACCCGCCCCACAAGTTTAATTCAAACCCACCCCTGCAGCAAAAAGCTTAGCGGGCAGGCAGTTTCCAGGCTGCAACCATGATCTGTATTATCACAAGTTTCTTCACTGACCCCAGATCCAAACCACAATTCTGGAGGAGATAAACTTTACAGGTTGGAATGCTCCAATCGCGCTCCATACCGACACACCGTTATATCAATATAGTATTACTCATGTGCAGGTGTCGTACACTCAAGATCCTTGCAGGAATGAAGTGCAAATGCTGACCTGGGTAGCAACTCAGTCTGTCGGTGGGTCTGAACGAACAAGCACTGTGGTTTCTCGTCCCCATTTAAAGTCGGTCAAAGTTGTATATAATTGTCACAGTGACGGTGGATGACTTCAGGACCTCCTCCCAAACTGTCTGCAACCCATATCCCGACATCTGGATCACGAAACACTTGCATATTTTCCTCTCACTTTTGGATGCTCATTTCCCTCATCGTCAACTTGGCAACCATGGTTTTACACCCCGACTGCCGAACCTTATCAGATATGCATGCATCCCATGAAGTCAAAGGTATGTTTGATTTTAATAAAATTTGAATATTTTTTTACTTGCAGATATGCATCAACAGATACTACATTAAAAGTTTTTATTTTTACAATGGGTTTCAATCATCTATTTGACAAAAAACAAATATAGACATGTGTAAAAAAAAGAGTTTTCCATGCTTGAACTCATCTTTCTTGTCATCAGTAAATTGGACATTTGAACATGTATAAAAAAGAGTTTTGAACTACCATGCAATGTTTGAATTTATCTTCTTTCTCATTGGTAAATTGGACACATGAACTTTGTGTTTGTACAAATGTCAAATACTTTATATCCAATAATAGTTTATTAAAATTTTAAAATAGATGCTAACAAAGATATTATCAAAGAAGTAAGCAATAATATAATATAATCTAAAAATATCAAATTTTATAGTAAAGCAATAGAGCTTTATAATTCTTGCTAGAATTTGTCCAAAAAAAAAAAAGTAGAAGTGGAACAAATAAAAAAAGACGTCTATAAGTAAGTTTAGAATAGGTTTTTTGTATGAGAATAAAGTAGAAATCATTCTAATTAAGAAAATAGTTTTAAACAAATGCAACAATACTAGAAAGAATAGAGCCACTTATTAGACATTGCACTAAAAATTTGGTGTTTAGATTCTAAATTTTGTACAACAAAGATAATCTATAAAGTACAATTGTTTCAATTGAGATCTTTTTTGTTTGTATGTTGTATATAATGTAGACTAAGAGAATAGAATTGAGTTAATATTGTGTAGTAAAGATTATTGATAGCAACATGTTTAACAACTTGCTCAAATTTTTGGCAAGTTGTGCCAAGTGTTTGTATGGATGCAAAAGCAACCAACATTAAAAGAACAATACAACCTTAAGGTTACAACCAAACCTAAAAAAATAAAAGATTAGTTTAAAAATAGATAAAAGATACTATATAATAAATAATTCTAATTAGATATAAATAATTTTTAAAATATATTAAATTATTATATAAATAAGAAAAATAAAAATAATTAAATATTTCCAATAACTAATTTATTTTTTAATATTCTTATTGATGAGGTCTACTAGTGGTTATTCTTATTATGCCTATAAGTAAGATTTTTGCTGAGATTTATTTTAAATATTATTAAAATTAAATTTTATAATTATATTTTAGTTAAATTTAAATATAGGATTTAAATTTTTTGTTAACATATAATTTATTAAAATTAAAAATTAAAAATATTTTCTAAGATTATTTTAAGATTTATGATTTTCTTAGGCTTAGATTTAGAATTAGATTTTATTTTTTATGATATTAGAAGTTATAATTTACATAAACTTAAGTTTAGAATATAAAATTTTCTAATCTTAATATTTTAAATTTTTTTTTAAATTTAATTTTTTAAAATTAAGATACTATATATAATATCATATTTATTATTTTTTTAAATTAATTAAAATAATAATTATATTTTTTTAGATTTATATTTTTAATATTTATTTTTAAAAATAAAATTTACTCAAATTTAGTATTTAAATTTTAAAATCTTTAAAACATATAAATAAATATGTAATGATAGATTTAAAGAAAAATGATCATTAAGAACTAAACAACTTTAAAATTGGTACATGATATTCAATACTTATCTTAGATTTTCAAATTTCCATAAGACCTTCATCAATGATTATTTTCAAATAGTCACTCTACTTAAATAATTGAGATGCAACTATAAGTCTAAATAAGGATTAGAAGCTAAAAAAATCTTTAAATGCTTAAAAATAATATTTTCTATAATCCCTATTTTTACTCATCTAAAAAAATTAAACAATTTTTTATAGAAATTAATGATTTAGACTTTGTATTGAAAATGGTTTTATAACAACTTCGAAGAAAAAGAAGACTACATCCAATTACATTATGCTCCAAAAAATTCTTAATTGTAAAGGTAAATTATAAGATTTATTATAAGATTTTATTATTATTATAGATTCTTTCTAATAATAGACTCATTTGCTCAAAGATATGTCACATCTATTGATTGTATGTACACATAACAAGAACCTTAAGTATTTTATGTTCATTCATGTCTAAATGATTGTTAAGCTCATTATAGTATATCTCTATCTTGTTTTGAGTTCAAAATCACATATCAACTTGAGAAGCAATAAGAATTATCAATTGCTTTATCAAGACAATCATACTTTGTGCCAAAAGAAAGAAAGGCTTCACATAATTACTAATAGATAACAATCTTGAAATCTAAGAAATTTTGTATTTGAGCAAATACTATATCAATTTTAATGGATTATTTATTTTTTGATTAAATTTGTACAACCATAAATATGAACTCTCTTGTTTTTGATGTTGAACATTCTTTCAGTAAGATCTACAATAATTCAAGCAAATTCAAGTTTGAAAAGATTCCTACTTTGAAGAACATTTATATATTTCAAAAAGACTATTGTGCCCTTGTATTTTCCAAACATGTCTAAACTTTCCAATTGCAAGACATTCTAGATTCAATAAGACATTGGAATTTATTTCTAAAGATTATTAATAGCTCTTAATATAAAAAGATATTAAAGAATTTATTCTCTTTTGTAATATATGTTCTAGATCAAAGAATTATTGATATTTCTTATATGGACTTCTTCAATTGCTACTAGTTTCAAAGCATTTATAATCTTTTATCTTTAGAGACTTTATTACAAATCTTCTATTATCAAATTCCTATGATATACATAATTATTGACCAATTTATAAAGACATCATATTGTGTCTTTCGTAAAAAGACCATTACTTGTGAGAAAATGGCCAAAATCTTCATTGATAATATTTATTGATACCATAGATTGTCAAATGATATTATATCAAATCAAGAATCACAATTAGTTTTCAAGTTTTAGAAGTCACTTTTTAATTTTTTTTTTAAATCAGCATCAAGCTATCTTTTATGTTTCATCTACAAATTGATTGCAAAACATAGTAAATCAATCAAATTGTAAAATAATACTAGAGTTATATTATCAACTACTAATAAGACAATTGAATATCTTACCTTTTCTAGCAAAATTTGCCTACAAAAATATGGCTCATGCATTTATTTAATAAATTCTATTTTTATCTAATCATGATTTTAATCCAAAATTAGATATGTTATTTATTGATAGATCCAAAAATCTAAAAGCAAATGACTTTGCAAGCTAAATAGTTGATATCCAAGCTACTTTGAAGCTTCAATTAGAAGAAGCCTAAGTACACTTATAAGAATCAATCAACATTCAAAGAAATGAATAATCACTATTTTAAGTTAGTAATAAAGTATGGTTGATACAGCATAATATAAAGGCTATTTGACTAATTGATAAATTGGACTAAAAAAAATTAAAACTATTTTCTATTTTTAAAAAATTTATTTATGTTTTTTATTAATTAAAACTATTAGCATCCATTAAGATATATCATATTTTTTTATGCCTCTCTTTTAGAACCTTATAAGAAATCAAGCATATTAGAAAAAATACAACTGCCATTGTCATATATTGAAGTTGATAACTATGAAGAATTTGAAGTAGAAGAAGTATTTGAATTAAAGCCAAAGTTAGGACAACTAGAGTATTTTTTGCATTGGCATAGTTGCAATATAAGTGAATGCACATAGGAGCTAACTTCAAATTTAGTGCATACACTTTAAAGGTACAAGAATTTTAATAATGACATTCTTTTAGACTTTGAGTAATAACACATGTTAGATAATAATTCCATCTACTATATCCAAATATAATATATCTTAGATTTTATAGTTATTTTGTAGAGTGAGAAAAGATAGTTTCAAAAAGCTTTAAGAGCTTAATTCTTATATAAACTAACAAATCTTAAAGTAATCTCATTGCATCTTAAAGTTGTGATAAGTCTTTGATTAGACATGCATAATTAGATATGAATAGTCAAGACAATAACATGCCAATTATGTCATCTCAATCAAACATTTCATATTGTCAACCTTCAAAGAAAGAATTGCTTGAACTAAAAAGACATCAAAAAATATCTAGTAGCCGCTTTATAGAAAATGTCATTGAAGTAGAACCTACCCATGAATGATGTCTTGAAGTAATTTTTGTAGGAAAATTTTAGAATAATGACACAAAAATTTAAGTTTGGTCTGTAATAGAAGGCATTAGCTAATATTTTTGGTTGCAAGGATTAATGAATCTTCTAGCTTGCAAAAGGCAATTGAAATATGTGGCTATTACCATGTTTCACATCTTTGACTTCCTTTGCTTGTGATCAACTTTTGCTTTATCTCTCATTGTGGAACTCAAATCTAAAGAAAGAGGCAATGTGACAAATACAAAATAGAAGAATATTTTAGAAAGTTCAAAATGATTCTAAAATATTCTATAAGGTTGTAGAAGATTCTAGAAGGCCTCTAATGATTTTAAGTAGTTTCTAATAGGTTCTAGTAGATTTCAAGAAACTTTCAAAAGACCCTAAAAGATTCCAAAAAATAATAGATGGTTGTAGAAAGTTTTTGGAGGCTTACTTCACTAGCAAGCATCAAGTAAATTTTTTAAGGATCTTCCTTAAATCTAGTATAAATGAGAATCAAGGTTGATGAAATCTTTAGTCTTAATAATGCAATCTTTGTGGCTTAGCTCGAGCCTTTTGGTCTTGTTTTTATACCTTATTGTAGCTTCTTATTTGTGATATAAAGTGAATTTCTTTTGCTTCATTTCTTTAAACTCTTGGAATCTTATCATATCCAAGTAGTGTGTCTATAATACATTTCAGTCCTTGTCTCAATCTCTAGTCTAATCTTACTCTTAATTCTTGACTAAATCTTATTTAAAAGCACTTTTAAGACCAAAAATACAAATATGTCTGGTATTAAAGAATAATATATTATTTAAGAAAGTTCTATAATATTTTTAATGATGATAATAATAATAATAATAATAATAATACATAAAAATACATTTGGAATAGAAAAAAAATTAGATAAAGATATTAGATTTTTTTTTGAATTCTTGGATAAATAAATTGGTTATAAAAAAATTGATTATATATTATATGTTTTTTTATTAAGCTTATGAAGAAATATAGACAATTATAGATAAGACATTCATTAACATTAATATAAATAAAATAAAAAGATTTCAGCAAGGTAATACCGTTATAAAATATACTATTCTAATGAACAAAAACCATCAAATTATATTTTTTTTGTAGCAACTAACTGTGATTTTTTGTTGCAGAGTTTAATATAAATTTTCCTAATCCTAATCTCTTTAGTCGTGATGTTTTTAATTTCTCTAATTATTTTTTAAATTAATTACTTAATGTTTCAAAAATAATAATAATAATAATAATATTTTAATTTTTTTTAATTCTCTTCCAATTTTTACATATTAATTTATTTATTCTAATTTGTGATTATATTTAGATTTATTTATTTTATCATTATTTTTGTATATAAATTTAAATTTAAATTTTTCATATTGATTTTTTTAAAATTTAAAATTTCTTTTAATCAATATATATCTCCATAAATATAAATTTTAAAAAATTAAAAATGATAATTATGAATTTAAAATTATTTTTTATTATTCACTATTTTTTATTTTAAAAAAACTAAAATATTAGTAAAATTTTATAGCTTATTAATGTCTAATTGGTGTTTATATATATATATATATATACAAAGATAGTTAATTAGTTGGATAAAAGAAATAAAAAAATCAAGAATTTACAAATTTGACATATGACTTTTTTTCATCACTAACTTTAATATCTTATATAGCTCAAATCACCTACAAAATTTGCAACATTAATTCTAAAGCATAGAATTGAAAAAATTAAACAAACTTTAATCTACACTTTTTTAACACAATTTAGTCAAAAAATCTTCAGTTGTATTTTAAAACTAGTGTTTATCAAATAATAAGTGTAAATATTGCTTAAAAATACTTTTTAAATTTAATAATAAATATAAATCTATACTATTTTTTAAAAATATTAATAGCATTATCTTTTTAAATAAAATAAAATGTTATATTTTTTAACAAAATCTATTCAGCATACTATTAAACATATTATATATTGTACTAATCTAAAAAAAATCCATAAATAATAGTATATTTATTACTTACATTGTCATGATGACAATAAAAAACTAGAAATTAAATCATAAAATAGAATTCTAATTAAAATAGTATTAACATGTAATTTTATATTTGATTTTAATAAAATTCATTTGATTACAAATAACAATCAAAAAATAATTATTTTTTTTTAAACTAATTTGAATCTTAAAATAAAAGATGACAATGAAAAATTAGCCATGCTAACTATACTACTAATTTTAATAGCATTTGATTGGACATCTCTTATCAACTACTTATAAGCGGTGTCTTTTCCACATAAATATTGACAAATATTCATCTATAGCACAAGGTAGGCAACAACCCCTTCACTTAAGGAACTACTTCCTCCTCTAATCTATAATTCTTTAATTTGAATCTTTTTAAACTATAATTCTTCTTTACTCTAATCCCTAATTCTAAACTCTAATTTCCAAATCCTAGTTAGATATATAATATGTACACATACCGAACTATTTAAAGATTATCCTTCAACAAGTCCATCTTAAGTCACTAGCCAACCAAGACTCAACAATGAGATGTCAGGAGCATTTCCAACAGCTGAAGTTTCGACCAGACTTCAGTAATTTCGTAGTAGGTAAACAGAGCCTGCCTTGTAACAGAAAATGGCTAGAATCTTAGGAAAATGTCGAGTGATTAGGAAAACAAAAATTCGTTTTGAGTAGAGCAACAATAGTGACTGATTTCAAATTCCTAAAAAAAATAGACTTTCGATACAAGCAGGTCATTCTCATCCAAAAACTAAAATGAAGGATAGTCCTGGAGGACCCAATAATGCTTAACAGGATGTGCACCCTCAATATAACAGCTGGCCTTAAATTTCAGAAATACTAACTCTGTATGTGTACATATTATATACACATACCGAACTAAAATTCTGATAGAAAAATACTGAAGCGAAATTGAACAAGTTAGGAGAAGAAAAGACTTGTATCATTGCAGAACATAGTCCTCTGGACTGTAGTATTCTGTAATAAGCCTGTAGACATACGATGGATTATGACCACCTCTACACAAAACAACCAAAAGAGCTTGTCAATTGAGGTTCTGAATAGATCATACTAAGTGATAACCGTAAAAATACTAAATACCAAAAATATCGAAAACTGCTACTGGTTGACCTGTCCCCGTCATATATAACAAAATCGAAAATGAGCACAAATTATACAGCCAAACAATTTCCAGCTACTATCAGGTTTTTAGAGAACGGAACTTACGCATCCGTAATGAAAAGACTCACAAGCTCCGGCGGAATGTAGTCAAAAGTAGGGTTCACGACATAGGTGGTATGATCACCACTTTCCACATCAAGACATTCAGGTAACTCCCCAAATTCCACAACCTCAGCCGGAGATTTCATGTCGTTAAGCAGTGTGTATGGATTGTGAGGATATTGGGGACATAGCTGCAGTAGACAAACAAGTCTCTTATGAACAATCTTGGATAGGGCTATGTCCACTGCTAAACGAGAAGGATTCCGATAGAACCTAATAAAACATCAAAACATGTGAGCGACAGAATTCATTATTTTCGTAGATATACCTTGTGAACACCCGCAAGAACAACAAAAGGAGCTGCGTGCCTGCGAGCTGCTAGAGCAATCATATGCATGCCAACTGGAGCCAGCACTCCTCCATTCGCCATTACAGCATGTGCTCCCACTATGACCTGATAGTAATTTTTAGCAGGATATAAGCAGGGATTTCAGGAAACAAAACATTAGAGCAAATCTATAATTACACACAATTAGAGAATCATTTTTTAACCTCCTATTAGATTTATATGTGTGGCAGGTAGTAGAATAATGAGGTAGTTGGCATGTGACTTCTTTCTACGAGTTAGCTACTGACAACAATGACTGAACGACACGACATCTACGCACAAACCTCTACCACTTTCGTGTCGTTGTTGTTGTAATCCTGATATGCTTAATTACAATATAGTACGTTGATAATAGCGTAACGTACCATGTTCACACGTGATATCATGGCGAATACGGCTGAATCTGTGATTACGGTGGTTTGTAGCCCTTTCTCTGCAAGCTCTTTTGCAAGTGTGTGTCCCTGGTACCTGATAAAAAGGCATCAAATGAAAGAAGGCACTTCACTTTACAAATTCCTAACTTCACATGTCAACCTGTAGAAACGAATCTGACTACTCCGCTAGTGTAACTCATCACTCATTCCAACTTTCGAAAAGAACACAGCCATACAACATATCATTTCAAATGACATACCTCGGAGCACCCTCGGCGATCACCACTTGAAAAGATCTCTTCTTCTTCGCCTCCAGAAGAAATTTAAGTAGCGATCGTGACCGCCCAAGCGTCAAGATCACCTCACTGCCAACAACACATGGCATCAAATTATACTAAAAGCATGAAATAACAACTCACTTACAGAGGTTGAAAGAAAAGAAAGATTGTACCAAGTCAGACAACACAAGTTAAAAAATCCTGAGTTCCTAAATAACCTGCAAAGACATGCCTAACAAAGAGTAATAACATGATAAGTAGCACAAAGAGTAAAATGCCAAGGATAGTCTACGACAGATATGCATAACATACTTCTGATGGATATGTTCAATTGCTTGCTCAGCAACCTGCGTGTGGTAATCATCTATATCTTGAAGTAGCTCGGTGATGCCTTCAATTACATTGTGCTTAAGCTTCCAGCTTACAGAGTTCCTGTCTCCAGCTATGCAACCCAACGAAATCAGCATTAACTCCTCCTTCCAAATCCATGACACTTAGGTTGTGAACATAATTGGAAGAACCGATAAACATCACGAATAAGCCCAGTTTTAGTCAGATAAAAAATATCCAACACTAAATCGTAAAGTAGAAACTTCTCATAAAAATATCCCAGTCGTATGCTATTCTAAATCGTTGAAAGAACGTCAATAGGATCAGCTGTGCGAGGTAATGAAAGCTTTAAATTAGCTGAGACCTTAGGAATCAAATCGCACCGCTGTAATGGTATTTCGTCTATGATAGACGCTACAACTTCATAGTTTTATTGCAGAGAAAATCTAGTTCTAAATGCGGTAGCAAAATCTATAAACCTAAGTTTCCTTCAAAAATTATATAAGAGTAAACAAAGGGAAAAACTAAAAACCAGCACTGAATTCCAACCAGAGACTAACACTAAAGACATAAACGAAATCATGATAATAAAGACGGAAACGATGACAAGATATAAAAGTGGAAAACTGCAACTTACTAAATAAACTTGAGGAAGTAGATTGTCAGATATATACAAGGAGAAACTACAACACTTACATCTTTTAGAATCCGAATCCGCTACAGACACTGCTGGAGCTACAGGAGCTTTGACTGGATCAGGTATCGACTCCAGCAGATTGTGCAATGAGGGAGCGCGCAAGGCACTTCGGTTAGCAGCAGCAACAGCTGCAGCCGAATAACTGGATTTAGAGTCACTGTCGTCATCATCGCTCTCAACGCTCACTCCTGGAAGTGCGGAAGATGTCAAGGACACATCTTCTTCCCTGATGATGTGAAGAACTCTTCTCACAATATTTCCAACAGCTAACTCTGCGTCCATAAAGGAATTCAATGCGACCGATTAGGTGCTCCAGTCCAGTTGTTTCAAAAATTCATACGGCGTAAAGATTGAAAACCCACAGGAGAAATTGAATATCTACTATTTATTAAAAATAGTACTCAAGCCATTGTATCCAATTCTTCGCCAAGAACAATGGAGACATATGTAATTTTCAGCACAAGGTCAGGATACTTGACTAACCAATAGGATTCGCTGCAATCATACGAAGACCTACAGTTTTCACAACATCAATGAGAACAGCTGCTTGACCAACATGTGGCAAACGTTGGTGTGAGACAACTTGACGAAGAAGCTCAGCGGTATGCTTCGCAGTGTTGAAAGAGCCCTCCACCTGCCTGAAAACAATTCTTCAGCCATGTCAATATTCATAGCAACAGAACCCTAATTTTAAGGACTAGAACAGACCTTTGTTGGCTTATATGTTACCAGGACCAGTGCTGACCAAAAAATGCTGTCAGAAAGTTACAAGTGCATGAAATTTGATGCCCCTACAAAGCCTATATACGCCATTTATTCGTGTGGAATACAAAGAGCTAAAAGTCAGAAATAAAGACCTGCGTCTCAATTTCGTGACAAAATCATCCACTGCAGCTTGATAGTCCGGCATTGCAGCTACCATAACAGTTCCTCAAAAAAGAAGAGCCCGTTCCTGTGCTGGTAGTGATGATGTTGCTAAGCGCAGATGCTCTTCCTCTCCAGCACAGAAACCAACTAAATGTCGAAAATGGAGTGACGGGGGCAGTTACATAAGTCTTCTACTTGACAATTCTGTGAAATTCATAAATAATTGAAAATTCCGTCACAAAGACATTCTAGAGATTGTATGCAAAAACGAGATAGAAGTCCATAAATTTCTAGAAAAAACTTGGTTGCGCTTGGAGAGCAATCTACATGCCAATTACATCATTTCGCTCTGATGATCGACACCTCAAATATACTGCGACACCACTACAACCCTTTCTTCGATTAACAGGGGTCAACAGTGATATTGGTTCGGAACTGAATCTAAAATTCATTCAGAAATCTCACATGCATGCAACCGATGTGTATAATAATTGCATTAGCACATTCACCATCAACCCTCTACCAGCGGTTAGAAACTTCTAAACAGTATATCCTCAAACAACCAGAGTACACCACAAACAACAAACACGTACCGAAACCCTAAAAACCCAATAAGCAGTCACCCATACTTCAAAAATTCCCACTCTAAGCGGAAACAACAGGAGTCCACTGTCAAGTTTAAGAAATCAAAGGACAAATCGCTCAAAAAAGGATCCACGTAGCGACCAAACTAGGTATACGATTGAAAAGTGGTGCTCTCAACAAGCACAGCAAAGAAAGATATTTTCATACCTGTCACAGATTGAATCAAGCAACCATAGAGCAGTATCAAGAGTTGGTAGACATAAATCCGTAAGCAGAGATTGGAAGATTGAAGGTTTAGCCTTAAACCCTACACCCACGTGACAACCCTCAATGTTCTTGTTCACATTTCTCAATGTTGCCCAGGATTGGCAGTGCTGCCCAGCCCTTGTTGCGACGTGGATATCAACCCAGCCAAAAGCGGGTATGTGGTGCACACAATTTCTAGTCCACCCAATTTATCAAAGTTGCCGAGGCGTCTGTGGAACCAATTTACGATTCATTGACTACACATCGTGGTGGGTGCTGCTAGTTTTGCTGGTCGCAAAAACTAAGCGTTATACTTGGCGTATTTAAGTCTCAGGTTGTGGTGGAAGTTGGTTTTGTGTGATGGTGTGATGCTTTACGTCAGGATGTGAAGAATTCTCAACTGTATTTGCTCGTTTCATAACTGATTCTTGAGTGAGGGGTGGATTGTATACCGTGAATTGGATTCTTGAGCTTATTGGTCGAAAGAGGACGAATTCTGGTGTTGGGTTTCATTGTGTAGCGTATCTAGTGGTCAAATCTTCACCGATTGGAGTTCCTCTTCTGAAAAGTTTGACAGCTATCAGTTTTGGAGTTTTTGGAGTTTTTTCTTAACATCTCGCATTCTGATGATACGAGGAGATAGAACCAGAAGAATCCTAATCTCAGGTGTATGTAACAGCTCACACCTTGGAATTATAGAAGGCCCTAATGCAAGTCCAATTCTATGGTGGTTAATTACCATTGTTCTCTGATTGTATGTAGCACACCTGTGGGTGCAGGAGCCTAAAGTGTGTAGAGCGGAGCTTATTTGAATTGTTCGGAGAAAAAGGGGAGCCAGAAGTATTTTGAGAAACAATTTGGACCTAATTCTGTGAAGCGTTAGAAAGGTATCCGACCAAGAGCCTGAAGATTTACAATTCGTGACGGTTGTGGAGTAACCGTGTTTACGCTGTTTTTGAATGTTTTGGCGGGCCTGAATACATGTGAATGTGGATTTGTATTCAAGATTTGTACTCATTCTTGAACGCCGTTGATCGTCACGAGGTTCAGTGGGTTTAGGTTGATTCGTGCAAGAGTACAACCTTTGAATCGGAACTCAGTTTTGGCCTGCTAGAGGATCCAGTTTCTTATTTCTGAGGTGGTTTTCATTCTACCAGGAAGAGTTATCGTCAGCTATGGCGTCAACCGCCTTATTCAGGCGGCTTCCTTCTCCTCTGCTGTCGTCTCCACAAATTTTCCATCCTCTCCGACCGTCGAGAGCAATGCGTGCGCTTCCAAGGCCGCAACCACACACCCTCTCTCAGGTAGCGTCCTCCAATAATTCCACTCCTCAGACATTCACCATACGCAGCCACAAAGTAGAACTTCAAGAATCACATTCCCAAATAGAGCAGACTGAACAAGCAAGAGCGCTCTCTTCAGAGATCGCAATGCAGCAATGGAATAGATTGACGTTTGCCATAGCCATGGCGTGCCCAGTTCTTGTCACAGCGTTATTGACCCCACATGATGCTTCAGCAGCGACGGCCATAGAGAGTGGCCAAATTCTGCTCCTATCGGCTGCGGAAGTCGACCCTGGCACTGCGAAACTCGCTATCACCATCCTAGGGCCTCTGTTTGCTGTTCTCAACCTCATGTTCATCGTCCGCATTGTTATGTCGTGGTACCCACAGCTCCCTGTGGGGAAGTTTCCCTTCTCCATTGCGTATGCTCCCACGGAGCCCGTGCTCGGCCCGACCCGCCGTCTGATCCCTCCCGTGGGTGGAGTGGACGTCGCCCCGGTGATCTGGGTGGCCCTAATGAGTTTCCTAAATGAGATCCTACTGGGGCAACAAGGGCTTCTTGTTCTCCTCTCTCAGCAGCAGCCCTGATTCTTACTCCAGGAAGAGCATCTAGTTTTCCTTCCTCCTCGGAACATAGGAAGTGAGAGTGTGCATCGGCTGTCTGTTGTTTGTGCAGCATTGGTGGTTAATCACCTCCTGTAATCTCCAAACAAAATCACTCAATTCTTCTCAGCATTGTCTCTATTCTCTTGTGGCTGTTGGTATTTGATGGGAGTCACCAGTTTCGTGCTGTGGGTGGTTTGTCCTCCCTAGTAGTCTGAGGACTGGTTTACTTTTGCCTTCCGCTATGTGTCCAATTTGTAGCCTTGCAACGGTGAATTTGCCGAGCAGTCCAGATTTTGAAAGCATGTCTGTCATGTTGCTTAGGCAACTTCAACATGTACAACCTTCAACCTGATACTGGTGGTCATTTATGTGTTAAGCGATAGTGCAATTGATCCTTAATGTGGGGAGATAAAGGACCTCTTCATTTTAGGGATGCAAAGTATGTATATTTTGAGATTCGTCACATTACATATTTGCTGTCTTTCTTAATACATGACTGATCTCACTTTATATATGCTAGGTGTGTTTGATTTGGAATCCGTCTTGTTATATTTTCACAATTTTCAGTTCTGAAGCGAGGTTTCATTGACTCCTGAAGTCGCAAACATTTGAGATGGCTGAAATGAGAGGAATGAGAGAAATGAGCTTGATTAATGACATTTGTAAAGTGGCAACAACTTTTTATTCAGACAAATGTCATAATTGCAATGGGTGTGTAAACTAATGGGTTGAAAGATATGTGTAATTCATGTAGTGTGTGAATTTTGTGTTTCACAAGTATAAATCTTTACAAATTAAGTGAATATGAAAACATTCCCTTATTAACCTTCATGATGGTTTCTTGTTGTCATCTTTGTCAATGAATGCTTGCAGTTTTTGTTTTTGAGTGTACAAATGGTTTTGTTTCAACTTGGAATTAATGTTTCATGTTATCTTTGCACATGTACACACTATAAATTAGTTCACAGCATTATTAAATTGTACCCCAATTTCTAAAATTAAAATACCAAACCATAGAACAAATTCTTCTAAACTATACAAATGCCAACAAGTAGTCAACATCTTAATTGGTATCAATCATTACCTTCCACCCAACATAACGATGAAGGAACATATAGATGAAAGAGGTATTCTTGTAATAATGCTTTAACATTATCCAATATCATTTCAACACTAAGCTTAGTTCTATCATTCTTTTGTGAACGTGGTTCTCTACGTAGTCCAATTTAACGATAAACTGGTGTTGTAATAGCATTAGTGATTAATCACTTTCTGTAATCCCAGTTGCTTGGAAATCAGATCTGACTGAAGAATAGAGATACAGTGACTTGAAAATGTAGACAGACCTGGCGAAATGGAAATATCACAAAATAGGCTCTTGAATATGAAAGCAATTGGACATTAGCCTGGTGCATGAGAATGAACTTCATTTTAAATGTCATCAGATGTTATTACAGTTAGTGATCATCTTCCATTGTAAGCGTGGGAAGTAACGTCCTCACCACATCTAGACTGACTTCATGACGTTAATGAGCACTTTTCCTACGGTCTTACATTGAAGAGCTATGCAGATATTCGAATTCTTCAACAGAATTGAAAGGTCCCTAGCAGTTGCTGCGTCGATTTTGAGCTTAATCAGACCTTAATGGTGTAGAGATAGGCTTAATTTGCCGAACAACTTCTTCGGCCCAACATGCACAGAAGACGACCTCGAGGAAAGACTTCAAGGAGGACATCTCTCATCGACGAAGAACACTATTGCTGGGTGCCAAAGAGAAGTCAGAATACTGCGTGGTTTCGTCAAGTCATGTAATCTGCATTTGAGTCTTAATTTGCTCATTGAGAGAAGAGATTACTCGTCGGAGTCTACTCTCACACAGTCGCTTGTAATTCCTTTAATATCCCAGAAAATATGAACACTCTGCCGGCTGCCCAAGCTCCAATTCAATTCACAATATTACAAAGGGGTTATCTGTGATGACCTTCTGATGAGCAAGACACACCAAGCCCTATAGTTGACGTATAGCTTAATTTGGTTCCAACCCACAAGGTAAGCCTCAGGCGGGAACACAAAGAGCTCAGAACGGCCTTCCATCTCAAGCTTCCTTACTGTATCTGCCGGGGAAGGTTGCCCTCTGTTTGCTCGTTGGTGGGGTTTGACCTTTGGTGCTTAAAACAGTAGACATTCTGCCTTCTCTTGTCTGACTATCCACCAACTTTTCCCGGTCTCTCTCTTTGACTCGTACCCATTTGTCGCGCAAGCAGTGATGTAGCTCAGTGTCTTGCTTGCACTGAGAATGACGTTACGTGTAGGCATGCACACAATGTACGATGGGAGGAAGATCAAAAGTGGACATTGGCTTCCTAAATTATATAGTAACGAAGGAGTTGGAGAGACTGAAGCATTCAGACTTGGCAGGTGTTTAGATGGTGTTGTACCATGAATGTTGCCCGAAGCCGAGGGTGGTGTTTGGCGGACGAAGAGATTGAGAAGCTTTCTCATCGGCGGCTGTTCTTGGAATTGCTTATCCTGCTCATAGTCACTGTCCTGAGAGCTTTCTCACACCAATCTGCGAGTTGATAAAATAACCCAGTGCCGTAATCTTGGAGCCGTGAGTAAATGGCTGGGGGATGATCGTTCTTTAACGCGCTGCTTTCACAAGTAGAACCATTATGAGCCTCTGCGTTCTGGTACGATTCTGTTGAGCTTTACTAATCGGAATTGTACTGACTGTACTGGCTGCGCAATCAGCTTAGTTCATCAAAACAAGCTCAATTCGTCTCTTATATCTTTGTACCGAATATATCTCTCTATCCCAGCTCTTGCTCACAAGTCTTTTGTGGAAGAGCGATGTCAGAGGCAAGTGTGCAAGAATTCTTGCCACCAGTTCCGGTTGCAAGTTGCTCCATATATGAGGATCCAGCGTTGGAGAAGGATCTAAAGTTATGTTAGTGTGGAATTCTGAGGATCCTGCAAGATCCGGCATATCATCACAGTTCAAGCTCCAGATGTTCAGCTTTCTCTTTGACGATCTCAAAAGGATCTGCTCATTAAGTACCAGAGTTCCCATGACAATGAAAGGCTCGGCAATACAAAATTATACAACTCCTATCAACACTTCTTCAGCGAACATGGAAGTCGAAACTAGACGCCCAAGGTTGCCTGGATAGTTTCGCTATCGAACTATTCATCCGAAAAGCAAAGAGAGAGATGTAATTGCACTAAGGCAGAATTTAATCTTGTCCATGAGCTAGAGAGGAGCTAACAAATTCACCCGTAAGTAAACAACAACCCTCTCAAAGTCGGCACTGCTCCTCTACGAGATAAAACAAATCATCACCTGTAAGTGCTTCACCAACGAGTTCTGGCCTTTCATTAAATCTGTCCGATTGCGTTCATAACGCTCGGCGCACCTACAGCCGCTGACTCCACTCCGAAAAACAACCAAACAGGATAATTCGCTGAACATCTGGAGCTTGAACTGTGATGATATGCCGGATCTTGCAGGATCCTCAGAATTCCACACTAACATAACTTTAGATCCTTCTCCAACGCTGGATCCTCATATATGGAGCAACTTGCAACCGGAACTGGTGGCAAGAATTCTTGCACACTTGCCTCTGACATCGCTCTTCCACAAAAGACTTGTGAGCAAGAGCTGGGATAGAGAGATATATTCGGTACAAGATATAAGAGACGTTTCAATACGCCAGAATCTCCGGTCGTGGCTGGTTTTGTTTGAGAATGGAGGTCCAGTAAATCCTCACAAGTTGCACGCATACGATCCTATACGAATTGATTGGCATACATTCACCACAATCCCCCACTTTGCAACTGTGCAAAAAATCGGGGGGTTGTCTCTGTGTGGAGCGGCTGCTGGGCTACTGGTGTACAAAATTAGTTCCCTGAAAAGCCATTTCATCCGGTTTGGTGTCTTCAATCCCATTACCAGGTCGTGGAAGGAGCTCCCTCCATTGCTCAAGCGTCGACAGAAGCCCGTCGTCAACATGTACTGGGAGGATTCCGGTTTCGAACCGTCCACTCGTGTCGGGGGCCACTATAAATTAGTCGTCGCCGGCGGCCTCGAGTATGGCCTGCAAGTGGTTACTACGGAGGTTTATGATTCTAGAACCGAGAGATAGCAGATCACGTGTGAGAGGTTCTACAATCAGCAGCGCTATTTCTGCGATGAGATGCGCGCTACCACAGCGTTCTGCAATGGTTTAGTATACCATGTGCGCTTCAATCAAAGGTTTTGCTGTGATCCAACCCGAGGTACAATTCGCAATCCCATTGTACCCTCTCATTCCTGAATCTGACCCTTGAGTGCATCCTAAACATCTGAGTTCTTAGACACCTGATCAACGAAATTGAGAACATTCCGGCCTCGCTAGCTATATGTTGAGGCCTTTTCACGTGGAAAAACGATGTCTCTTGACCTCTGGAGAATCCTCAGTTCCGAATTGCAACAGTAGCTGCAACTATTTTATCAACTTATTCCGCCATGACAATCCTCCAGGTCACGAACACTCACAACTCCTGAGAGTTGCAGAGGGCCGACTAACAGCGCCAGGGAGATTGAAAGACATTATGTGTCATCTACACCTTTATGCTGGATCGAATTCCAATTGTAGAGACATGACTTTTCGAATTCTTCGATAATCTTAGCAGGCAGTGATCAGTTTGTTATATACAAATTGATTTTCAACACAGAGGGTAGATTTTGTAAAACTGACAATCTTTGAACAATTTCACTGCCAGAATTTCACACATTCATGACGTACGATACCAAACAGCCGTGGTGGCGACGTCTGAGACTCTACCTACCACCCAACCTTGTCTTCGCCGATTATCCCTCCCTCAAGCGCACATGGGAGGGGAGAACTTATGTCGCAGACGTTATCCCTCCCTCGCTCGTTGAATCCAACGGCCGCCTCCTCCCGATCGGATTTCAAGAAGACCCATCCCATTCGAAAATCGCAGGTATTGGCATCTGGGCAATCGGTAAGAGAAGAATCTGGGATCTCGTGACCTTAATGCCAGACATGCTTTTCAATCAGATGTGTCCCAAGGTTTGCATGTCAGCTTACATCGATCCATCTTCGTTTCTGAGGTACGAGTGCCAAGGTGTCGGACATGATGACATTGTGTACATCTTCCAATCTAATGAAGGCCAGGGGATCATCGTTTTGTGCGACTTATCCCAGACACCTCCAGCATGGCAGTGCATTCGCGCAGGTGTTGTGCCGAAGATGGGGTATTCACAGACCCTACAGGGTTGCGTCATCGACCCAAGATTGGACAGTATGATTTGAGATCATCGCTTCGTGTTCGTAGACAAGTTCTCTAGGGTGAAGCAAATTTAAAAACGAAGTTACAAAGTTTATAACTCCCGACGGCAACCGCCACTGGGATACTGGCCAAAGAACCTGTAAGTTTCCAGTGGACTGTCAGGTTTAAGGTGGAGGATGTGCGTTCAACAGACAAGTTCTTTCTTGTTCTCGATCACCTGCGTTGCGTGATGCCCCCCGGAACTCATACAGGGGAGGCCACTCTGCTGCACACAGCACTGAAGATAGACATGGCGGAACTAAGCGGAATTGCAGTGGCCGAGTTCTGGCTCGAATGGAGATCGGTAGCTAGAAACAAAGAGCTCGCGAAAACAACCAGCCCCGCCACGTGAACCATAATAGTTGAGCAACATGGGTAGCCATGTGAAATGAGATAAACTCATATTGGTGAGAACTTTTCATTACACAATTGAACCATAAAATAGGTCCCAGTCTTTATTAAAAATCTGCAGTAATCACTCACAGCTGCCTGTCTTCAATTGACAACGACAACTCACAGATGGATGCAAACAAGACACATGCGATGGCATGAAATCAGAAAGACAATTTATCCTTAACTACAACCTATAAGTGGATATTCCCGACTAAGAGCTGAAAGAGACCAAGCATCTACAGTAAATCTACTTCCTGAAGACCTAAAGATTACAAACCCTGTGGGGTTGGCAAGCTGAAAAAAGCACAAAGAACGCCCCAAGTCTCCTGTGATCTATCAAGCAAGAATGTTTTCCGACTATATCTCAGAAGATAAGAGCTATAAAACAAGAAAAGAAGATAGTAAACATAGAATAGAGAAATGAAGCCAACTTTTGTGAAAAACGGTGCAACTGATATACATGATATCAAAAGGGGTGAGGAAACTGCTAGGTACATCAAAGAGGAGGCACAAAAGTGTTAGAGTCGTTTTCAAGGGGAGACACAATAGAAGGTATATGAGTGTCCTTAGTAGCGATGTCTGCGTGTGGTCCTAAGGCTGCTCGCAACCGCTCATTCTTGGCACATTCTTCCTGTAAAGCAAAAAAGCCCTACTCAATATTCTGCTTAGAGGAGGCTACAAAAACATTCCGGTAATGCAAATTCACATGTGAAAACATGAAAACGATAAGATAACTCGTTCTTCGGATGCTTCAGTACATATAGACTTCAATACGATAGAAATGCTGCACGCCACCGAAGAACTGAAACAATTTTCTCGTTGGTGAGTACTAAGACTCGGCATAAAGCTTTTTATGTCAAATTAAAATCTACAAGGAAAGACTGGATATATAACTTGTATAGATACAGTAGCTTCGCTAGTAATTTGAACATAGATTACCTGGAATTGTTTAACGAGAGAGAAATAGTTTCGCTGGGCCATAACACTTGCCATATGTTTTTCTTTTAGTGCAGTGTATGTATCTTTCTCTGCATCTAATCGCTTTTCCATCTTTAACAATTTCTGCATCATGTCAAATAGGCCATTGTCATTACAACAAAACCTTATTGATAAAAGATGTACTTATGTCTTACAACACGCATTTAGGTGATAAAAAATATGGTCTACATTAGTCTATTCGCCAAAATTGTATGTGTAACAAGACAATTGCAAAAGTACACTTTCAGAAAAGTAATCATCACGAGTCCCTCTCAGAGACAGTGCCCGGGTTGTTACGCCTTTCGTGCGGGTCGGAACTAACTCGAAGAGAAATTTCGCTACGATTCTGACAATGCCAACTGAAGTATGAAGGAAACATGTGATAATACCTGCTTAACTCCCTTCACAATCCCCTCCATTGACTCCACGAACTTGGCACGACCCCCCGGAGTCATCATCGCAGCCTCAAACTGCAACAAATACACGCACATTAGGAAAGAACAATTAAGAACAACGAAGGTGTTCATATGTTAACCAAACATCTTGTTTCTTCCAAATGCAAGACTTACATGTATTTTCATTAAAATTAAAATATTGAAAAGCGTAACACATCGAAGGCAACGTGAGACAAGGACGAACATTCCAATTGAAATAGCTATTAAATCAGAACGTCACTGGCAAATGCAGATTCATTATGCTAAAATGTGCTGGGGGAAAAGAAGGAACCTGGGAATGGATCGAATTGAGTAGAGAAGTCTCCTTCATAGTAAGCTCGTGGACTTCAGCAAGTGCATTATAAGTCGCATAATACTTTCTTGTCTCCCTTAACTTCCGCTGTCGTAATCACATTAGGATCCATGAGAACGGAATAAGCATATAAACCCTAAACCAGGGAACAATCTCGATTTTCTCGGAGAGAATGCCAAATAAGACAAAAAGTAAGAATAATGCTTTTATAAGCAACAGAAAGAAGAGGAAAAAAACATCTAAGCACCTTACCTGTATGTGCAGATACAGCTCCACAAACCGACGTTCATATCTGTATGCTCCAATCCAAAACTCATTCAGTAAAAGATCACTTATGCAACTACCAAGCTGATATTCCACGTTGCTGAGGTTCTACCTGAAAGTTGACCAGAATGAATTGCACACGGGAAAGATGGAGTATATAAGAGACTCCAAACGAAATTGACCCGCACATTCATCTGCAACAGATGAGGTGGAGAAGCTCTATGCAGGTTGCTTTCAATATTTAAAAATAGACGACTGGTTGTAAGGTCCGTTTCAAAGTTTAAAGGTTGCAATTTTCACCATGTAACTACTCGGATACAATAAACTGGAATGAAAAATTGTTCTCTTGCGACTCACTGAATAAGTTCAGATTGTGTTGGAACATCGTCCAATTGCCTTTGCAGAAGAGCAACTTCACTACATTTTTTAGCAAGCTCCTGAAAATAAAAAGGAAAAGAAAACAACAGATTACAAAAACTGGGTTGAGATGCTTGTGATTACCAAGGCCAGAGATACCAACAGAAGTTCGAAATGAAATGCATAACATTATTTGCTAGAAATTCGACGAAAACGTAATATCAAAAGACCGAGGTTCATTGCGAAAGAAAAGAAACGAGATATCTCACTTTTCGAACTGATCTCAGGGTATATAAATCAGCTTCATACATAGCTTCAACATCGGCTTGCTGTTCGGCTTGCTCTGCAAGATTCCGGGATGGATCTTGCAACTGCTTAATTCGACCAACTAGTTCTGCCCTCTTCTTTTTACAGCTTGCTCGGAATTCACTTTCCATGATTTCAAGATTCTGACCACACGCACAGCCTATGTGTGAAATTAAAAAATTCAAAAGACCAGCCTATTGGCTAACAAAGACCAGCCTTGTTAAGTGACAACAACTGAGTTACCAGCTGTAGAAATATAACAGCAAACTTAAGAAGAGGTGAAAGATGATTACTGGATTTCACAACGAAATAATATTGAAAACGCCAAATCCCAGTAGAACAGGTGGTACAATGGGATACCTTCGTTTGCTGTAGTAAAGAAATCATATCTGTAACCACTTGCCCTGAACCCGCATCTTCGACAGCCCGCTGTAATTCTGTTCTCTCTGCAACGAGTTCTTTCCAATGCTCCTCCTGCCCTCCTAAAAAGGGCCCAGGTGCATAATGCACACAAGCAAGGAGATTTCTCGATCAAAACTATGTACTTGAACCACGGTGCAAAATAATGATCTTTTATTCATGAGCAGAACCTTATGTAGAAACCCCTATAAAACTTACAGGCAGGAAGTTACGCGAACAGCAAATTCAGAATTAATGTGTGGAATATGGAGCAATCGTAACAATTAATTGATATAATAGTAAATAATTAAGAATATACAACTGATTGAAAATCACCTGGTTTTTTATTAAGAGCTCAATCTCTTCAACACCAACGGCAACAGAATTTTTCTTAGTTTGCAGTTGTTCCAACCTTACTTTTTGAGAGTTCATCTGCTTCTGAAGGGCTGCAGTCTAAAGCAGACAAGCAACAATTAATTACAAAATTAAAGATTATTGTCTCATTGTGGATAGGTGTACATGGCTCCTAAACAGGCTTAAAAGGTACGTCTATAAACCATGGTTAGTTGTCAGCTAGTCCAATATTGCTCATGGCCATTCTAACAAAATAAACTGCATGCAATGGCGTATAGTAATTTATGAAAACTTCAGTTAAAAATTATTCAACAGCATTGTAAGCCGATCTCTTAGACAATGTAACTACGATATGACAATCCAATGAAGCTAATATGCAGTGGGGCATGCCTGTTGCTGTAAAGAGGTAATAGAATGAATATCTTCAATCTCCGAAGGCAGAATAGTGGTATCATCCAATGAAACTTCCAGAAGACGAGCACTGCATGACAGTACTAGGCACTCTTAGAAGCAACTCTGCTGTAATCACTGCAGAGCGAACTCTTAAAAATATTATTGAAGAAAATGACAGACCACATACTAGTGCCTACGAACTGGATGAAGCTGGTAATGGTACAGAGCCCTGCTACATCTGAACACCACTCTAAAAAATAAAAAATAAAAAATACCCTTCCTTGTAGCACAAGCCCGCTACTAGCTCCGCAAAAGCAATTCTGCAATTAAGTTCGGTAAACCTCGTTGTAGATAAGTCCATGCAGCCCTCAATGACGGGCTTATGGCTGGAGATGTAATATGTTAATTGCAGCATCTCAAATAAAATTCGGAATGTGATAAAGGCGTAATCTTACCTGGTCTGCATGTATTGCTGGTGAATAAAATCTGCTTTTGAAGTCTGCTTTGCAAATTTTACCCTATCCTGCAACTAAATTCTGATTAGTTTCTAATGGAGACCCAGGTGTCTATTGTGAAGAATGAAAGAACGAAAAGTTTCGAGGGTCGAAAGAGTCAAGGGAATAGGAAACAAAATAATAGGTTCGGACGGTTATGATCCCGTTGAACTGCAAAATGATGATGACGGCAATAAGGATTGAAGAAACAACCTTGCAAATATCATTACCCTAAACAAATGCTAAAGAAAGATGTAAGCGCAAGTAAAGCCCAACCAGGTGAATATGTTCATCAGCAGCTTCTCCAGGGAGCTTGTAGTGCTGCTGAAACTTCCAGAGAGAATATTTTCTTAGCTGTCAAACAACAATATTTGCGGTCAGATAAATGAGTTGATACAACAACTGTTTTTACCAGAAACCTCAGATTCGCACAGAATCCGCAGTAAAAGCTAATTGAAGCAAAAACAATATAAAATCTATTAAAAGTGCCATGCCATTTCCTTACAATATTCAGACTTTATCCCTAAAATATATGTATCCAATATGATTCACTGAGGTCACCAGATCTCTATCTCAAACCCTCGTTCACTCTCTCACACAATCACACACACACACACACACACTCACACTACATGTAGAGGTGTAAAACCTGAAAAGACGTAATAGCAATACATTAATCCCCGAACCCTGAACCCTGGACTGGACTGGACTTACCTGATCACCAGACTCTTCTCTGTTCTGTAAAACCCGTTTCACCAACCATTGAACCACTAACAAAACAGCGGGATAATCAAGACCTTGAATTTGGTGTGCTTGAAGAGGATAAGGGCATCCCATGCGTTGTAATGCCTCCTCAATTGCCTCCCCAACCTTGCTGCACATCAGCAGAAGAGCCTAAGAGCTCTAGCTACAGATCCATGATAATAGCAAAGTTCTTACGAGGAAAATGAGAATACTCCAGAGTGAAATACCACCAAAACCATGTATAGAATTAAAGGGTAGAGTCTAGAGATGTATATATCATCACGGTGTCAGGACTTGAAAGTAATCGTTTACAGCACATGACGAGGCATAGAATACGATTTCTAAACTCCAGTCTCGTCACCCTTCATGCAATTACAAATCCAGAGCGTCGTCAACTCATTCCCCGTCTAGAATCACTTAAATGGAGAAAGAGAATATTTTCAAAAAAAAAAATCATAGTTTGTGCGAATACAAGATGACGAAGATGATCCAATGTTATTTAATTTTCTGCAGCATAACCCTCTCGTGTACCTATTCTATGCGACACGAATCCACAAAGTGCACAAACTGTTCGATGATCCAATTCTTACATCTTATAACCAAGGGTGGCATCGTCATCGTAGAGAACATCGAAATCCACATCCACATTACTTGCTGCGATAGCCCATGCCAATCCTCCTGTGAGGATATCGAACGGCGAGAGTGTCGATATCTGAGCCCTAAAGTATCCTCCAGAGAGCAATAACTCCGCAATCTCCCGCAGGAGCTCAGCTCTCTCCTTATCCTGCTCCATCTCCGCCATCACCCCACCATTTTACACCAAAATTTAATCACAAGCCAGGGGAAAAGCAAGGGAGAAAAAGCGCAAACGCATAGAAGACCAAATGGACAATCGCGAAGGCCAAGCCTCAGAGTGCTAGGGTTCCGATCCAATTCATGGCTCCGATGCCATCGCCATAACCATACAGAAGGGAAGCTCGAGACTGAATGAAGCAGGGACGACGTGGACAAAATGGATGAACACGGACCGAATCCCTGTGGAGGCGCTCGCGACGTTCATCCACTGCGCTCACTCCAAGTCTAGGATACCCGCTGTTGTCCCAGGTATCAGCTGTGTGTGATACCCTTCGATGGGCTTCAAAACTTTCTAAATCGGCGGGTATCTCACATTTCAAGACTTTCTACATCATGTAGATACCCCAAGAAAATACTATTTTAAATAACATTTCGATTTCTGCATTAAATATGGAACACTTCAATATCAAATACGAAATTTACTGAAAATAAAAATAATTTGACATCAATCAACAACAATTTTTTATAAATACTAGACATTAAATTGCAAATTCTGTCAAATAGAATAGGATATAATTGAGGATTTAATAGTTTCTAAGTAAACACCTTTTTTTCTCATTTATCAACAAATTGTTGCAATTTCTAAAGGATAATTATCTAAGTATTTTAGTCATTAATATTATACTATTCATATATTATCAGTCCTAAATTTAAGTATTTAAAATTCTTGGAGAACCATTAAGTAGACACCTCTTTTTTAGTACATGGATTCAGCTCTTTGCCAAGCATCCTTCCATACACACAATAAAATTCTTATTTATATTAAAATATTTTAGGATGAATTTATACAAAAATATTTTTGTGCAATAGTTTGTGATAATATTATTTTTTATTTTTCAAATTAAAATTTTTAAAAAAACATAGTATACTTAAAGTAATTTTCTCATTCCCTTTAAAAAGCTTGTTAATTGTGATTTAGGAATTTTTTTCCTACAAATTTATTTTAAAACTATTAATATAAATAAGAGTTTTCTTATGTATATGCAAAGATAAATTGCATAAACGAGAGGAGAAGGCTATCTATGTAATAAAAGAAGGGTGTCTATCTAGAAATTTTCTATATTCAATAATTGCACTTAATAATTAGCATACAAAAAACATCAAAGTTGCTCAAATCAAGAAAATCTTCAAACAATACAAAAAAACATCAAAGTTGCTCAAATTAAGAAAATCTTCAAACAATACAAAAACTAATAAAAAAATTAGAAAAATTATATTCTTTGAATTAATAATTTAAATATATATAAGTAAAAAAAAATTAATAAAAATAGTAGCTAATAAAAATCATGGTCTTTTATTGAATTTTTAAAACCTACTAATACTTTAAAAATATTTGATTTTAAAATTAAAAAAATAAAAATAAAAATAATTTTTTAAAATTTTGATCTTTTAAACTTAATGACACATAAATTTTGTTGTACTTGAATTTTATTCTTTACAAAAAATTTATATATATATATATATATATATATACATAGATACATATAGATATTGAATACATTAAAGTTACATCAATTATAGCAATTAAAATAGGTCTCACTATTCAAGAATATTAATTTCTAGCAAGATCTTCATATATTGGTATAATCCACACCAATTATGATTTGGAATAAATAGTATAGATTGTACTATATTCATACTTTTCTAAATAGTGTGAATTAGAAGTAAATATTTCAAGTCAATTACCGCATTATTAAAGCCATCTTTCAAAATTTTGCTATAATACAAGACAATTACAATATAAATTGCAACTATTAAAAAAAACCAATCTACTGAGTTATCAAATGTCACTTTATTCAACCATGTAAAATACAATACACATATAATAGAAATGGCTGCCTACCATACATTTGAATCAATTGACCTAACTATACATGAAATAGTATAGACCATATTACTTTCGTATCTATATTATTTTCCAATCTAAACTAATTATTATAGTTGGTATAGTACTTCTATATTTTAAAAGGTTTATTTTCAAATAATTTTTTTTTATGATGTTATGCTTAGCAACATCAATTCTTTTGTCATTGTAACTACAATATTGTTTGACATCAAAGACAACAAGAAGGTGTTCTATTATGAATACAAGAAGATCCGCTTCAATTGTGAAATTAAATATGGACCTCCTAAAGATCCACACCACCCTTGGTAGTTCCATCCAATTGAGAAATGGACTACATTTGTAGTGCAATCCAAAGTGTAGTGATAAATTTGCCACAAACAACAACCTCACATGGAGGGTTGTTCCATGTTAGATATATTGTATTTAGAAATATATACAATAGGATTTTTATCCAATCTTATTGTGATATTTCTTCAATTTCCTTGTCACAAAAAGAAAAAATAATATGGAGATTTTAGTAGCTCAATAGGGTCATAATAAGAACATAAAAATTAACAAACTTCTTACATTGGTACTATAGATGTAGAAGACTTCTTGCACTATAGAGGATTTAAGTACTTATAGGCATATTCAAATCACTCTCCAAAATTTTCTTATATTTTTTGATATCTTTAATATTATGTTTAGATACTTTGAAGTAGTTTTAGACTTGAATCATTTTTAATAATTGAAAATTCTTGTGTTACCTCATTGTACATCAATAATATAATGCCCATCTTTAGAGTCACTTACTTTATCCATTGAGACAAATCTTTAGTTTAAATTCTTTTTGTAAGTGAAGTATGTGAGGCTGCTTTGACGGTATTGGATTTGACATCATACTATAGTCTATAAGTATCTGCATACTATTCATACATTTCCTGTGAATTGAATGTTTGCTTTCTCTGTGTCTTATATTATTTTCAATAAAGACTGCCAATTCTTAGGAGCTTTTCACTTATGATCTTATGTTTAATGTATGTGTTTGAATGATTATTTCTAGATCATATTGATTTCAATTATTCTTTATTGAAACTCTTCTTTTTTGAACTAAAAGCAAATCCACCTAACAAATCCTTTGTCTTGACTTTTGAAAGATATAGAAGCAATTTTAATTTAATTTAGATTAGTCTATTCAATAAGAAGTTATCACACTATCAAAAATAAAATAAAATAATCAGCATAGGATAGACTATTGAGATCAATGTGAAATAAAATAAAATTTATTATATATATAAAATTAGATTTGTTGTATAGATATAGATTAAAAAAAGATGAAAATGCTTCTTTAATTAAAAAAATACTAAACATGGTATCAGAGTTTGGTTAGAAGAAGCCCATCAATCATTGAGAGTATATAGACTAACAATCTTATTACTATGAAACCATGTCTTTATAGGTTTTATTCAAGAAGTAAAAGCCATTAGAGGAGGTAAGATCTTTGTTAGAATTAGAAGATAAGAATACTTATCTACAACATTGACAAACTATTGTAAAAAAAAAAATGGATTTAAAAGACAATTGACGCAAGCTAGAACTGTTGCTCAAAATGGTGTAGTAGAAAGAAGAAATAGAGCAATTATTAAAAAAGCAAGAAGTTTACAATATGAAGCAAAATTACCTATATAATTTTGGCCAAAAGTAGTAAAGTTAGCAAATTATCTTATAAATAAAAGATCTAGAAGGGCTAATGGAGGAGAAACACTAAAAAAAAAGATAGACAAAGAAGAAACCATAAGTTCATCATTTAAGAATTATAGGAAGCTTGGCATATATACATGTTCCTAAAGAAGAGAGATCAAAATTTCAATCAAAAATGTTAAAGTGTATCATGTTTGGATATGACAAAAGGAATAAAGTGTATAGATTATACCATTTACAGAAAGGGAAATAAAAAAATCTTCTCAGAAGAGATGTGATATTTAATAAATCCAAAATTGGATTTGAATTTATAAAAATAGATAATATGATTGAAACCAGTACAAAGTCAATCAAAATTCCAATAGTAAATATTTAAAATCATGATTTATATGACATAGCTGATCAAATGATTGATCAAGAACACATTGATCAAAAAGTAACTCAACAAGGAGAGTATAATTTTTTCTTCAAAACAAAATGAAAATAATACCAAAATTGGGATACGAAATGAATATTTTGAACCTCCACAAGACAAAACAGTTTGCAATGAAGTTAATGATGAAGATAATCCATTAGCAATTACAAAAGGTAACATTTTTAATAATAATGTTCAGAGAAAATGGAAACCTAGTCATGATATTAGAGAAATAAATCTGAAAAAATCAAAAAGAATTAAGAAACCAAATACAAGATTACAAGAGTATATTTGGACAGTATTTAGGAGTTGAGTTTGTATTTACTAAACAAGAAATCTAGATGCATTAGACACAATATATTATGAAATTATTGGAATAGTTTGGAATGGAAAATTCAAAATTTGTATGTATACCAATGCACTCAAGAATAAAACTTGAAAAGGACATGAAGTCCCCACTATTTGATGCTGCTTATTATTGATCCTTGATTGGGAGTTTAATTCATCTACAGATAACCAGATTTGATATAGTATTTGCAATATACTATTGCTCAAGATACATGAATCAACCGCAAGAAGCACAACTTATGGCAGCCAAAAATATTTTAAAATATCTTAAAGGAACAATGAATCATAGAATATTGTTTCAAGCTGATGGTGAAGGAGATTTATAAACTTATGCTGATGCAAATTTTAAAAAATTAGTAACAGGGTTGTTACATAAATTCGGATTATCACTTGTTCATTGGAGTAGTAACTTACAAGAAACTGTTGCATTATCGACAACCAAAGCAAAATACAGTTCAGTATGACGGGGTTCCACTACCCCATCATAGGGTGGACAGTCGACATAAACATGAGATAAAATAAGAATTTTCTCCATGTGAAAATCGGATTTGTTGTATAAATATAGTTCACTAAGAAGGTGAAAATACTTCATCGATAGAAAATACTCAGCATTGAATTCCTTTGTTTAATGCCTGGAAAGAATACTTCACGGGAAGTTCTCTTCCGGAGATCAAGACGGGAATAGAATCTTTCACTTCATAAGATGCAGGGTGCTCAAATCATGTAACAATAAATAAATGGATGAGTGCTAGACAAGGGTGTGCATGAATACTTTGAATGATCGGAAGTCATCTCAAGGCGTTGCTGTAGTTTGTAAGACAAGATGGTATCAATTGACGTCCCATTGTAGACGTACCATAGAGCATCATAAGCTTAAGATCGAAGCATTAATGTATATATTCGAGTCACCCGCAAGGTCCGGGTTAATTGTTCACAAGTTTTAGGTTGTATACACGCAATACAAAATGTGCTCATTGATGTTCAATGGACTACGTGTTAAATTTTGGTATACATGTATCGTTTGCTCGCAAATTTGCGAGGTCTCAAAGTCCCAAAGCACAGCGCAGTGAGACCCCTGCAAATCTCAAAGGGTAAACCCCAACGAGGACGGCAGCAAGGATCTCATGGTTCAAACCGTCACCTCCATCTGCCATGAAGCTAGACACGTAGCTTTAATTGGATAGCGTGAGAAAAAAAAACTCCCTGTAACACCCTCACCAGAAGAAAAATAAATTTAACAGGTGCACGACAAGATATGATCAGTCAAGTACTCATGAGCTTTTGTTTCCAATGGATACTTTGTAAACATGGATATGTTACAACTGTTCATAGTGGCAAAACAGCCATGAACAGATTTCTCAGCTCTCAAGCTGATGAACCTTCACTTTTAGAAAACCAGCGACCATTTTGTCACAGATCTTAATTTATCATGTGCTGTTACCGCACGAGGTTCAGTATGACGGGGTAGTGGAACCTCGTACCTCTTTTAAGAAAACTGAATTACTCTACACATTAAGATGTTACAACTGTTTGATTCTCCTGGTCAGCAAGAAGACCACATGCGGATTAAAATAACAGATTTATGTATTCTGACCTTGTTTCGGACTTATAGATCAAACGACGCTAGGTTGGAGAGGAGCCAACCCTTGAGAGCTTAGACTTCAAGTCAATCTCGAGTGCAGCGTCCGGGAATCACCACAAGAGTTTTCATAAGGAAGAAATGAGCAGTCCTTAAACTCCTCCATATCCACCACAACTTCGTTTATGAATGCTGTGACGATCTTGTCGTCAGCATCACCACATCTGCTTCTGTCGTTTACATTCCGCTCGCAAGAGCCAGGGAGTGAGTGGTCTCTCCCGCTGCCAGATTCCACACTCAAGGGAAGATCTCCGGAACCTCGATGTCGAAACAGCAGTCGTTCGTGATCGATCAAAGATGAAGACGAGTCGGTTCCCCTACGGCTCGATACTGACGACAGGTAGGGGAATGCTTGTTGTTGAAAATTCGACATATTGAAGGTGGCCTCTGGCTTCTTGGGTGCCTTGATAAAGTCGTCTCTGAAAGCGAAATCAGACATGCCAGGGTTCTGCACTATCACCAACATTGGTCTGTGGGTACCTCCATTTTTAGAGATAGAGGTTGGCTGCAGGATGCAACAAAAGCTGTCAGACATTGCTCAAAATACATGACAGCATGATTCCTCAAATATTTATACCAACGTTGCAAGGAAACCTCGTCGCAACTCAAGAGAGGATCTTTGTATCTGTACAAAATGCACCAAATGCACCAGAACGTACACTATGCGGTAAAAATATGTCAGTTTAAAACGAATACATAGGGCTCATAAAATCTCAATACACTGTGGTTGTTTGATTCCCTGATTTATGAGTTATCCTAATTTCCTTCGATTAGGTTTCTCAAAATTAGGTCTTCATAGTATGAGAGGAAGAGGAAGCAGCCCAGCAAAGAAAGAGAAGCTCACCACACCAATGTGCCATTCTTTTTCGTCCAAGTTGTTAAATTGCTTTTCATTAATTTCCTGCCAACACCATTATAAAGTCTTTGGTTTACTTTCCACTAACCACTTTACTGGAGGAATCCAAGGACGCCCATGAAAACTAAAATATTTCACATGTCCAGCAAATTAAGACAATAAAATGACTTACCACACTATAAATTGGAGGCAAAATGCGTTGACCAGAGGAGAGCTGAGTTGGAATCACAGTAAAAAATGGGGTCAGCTCTCTAGATCTGAAGGTCCACCTGCAAACAGTATTTGAAGAACAGCGTGACCATCAACGTGGAAATGCATCATATGAACTCCCAAAGTACTTTAAGTTTGCTTCAAAAATGTCTCAGGGCACAAGTAGCTTCATTGATTGCACATGTTTTTTTTGAGTACTAACCCGATGTAGGAAAAGAGACCCATCTCTGCCAACTCGCGAACAAGCAGGCGCATCCAATACTCGTAAGCCATGCCATCATCCCGTGCATGCATCTGTTCATGACAAGGAAACTTAGACATCAAAACTCATTCCACAGACAGCGATTGGATCAAAGCAACTTCAATGCATTAATTTTAAGCTTCCTAGTTTACAACGTTGAGTGGAATACCATATTTTGACAAAAACTAGGCTACGCAGCCTATTCGAAAAACAATGCACTTTCGAATGAAGATTACCCAAAATTCAAAATGCTCACCAGAATTTCAGCGGCTGCGATCGCCAGCATTGCACGCTGAAACCTCCTGCAGAAGCAGAGCAAAATACACTTTAAGGTCAGCTCCAATTTACTCTAGAAGTCGGAGGAGCAGACCGAGACCTACAATCGATCCAGGAAATTAAGACTAATATTCCTCTGATTATAGAAATGATCAATGATCATTTCAAGGCTTACTTGAACATAATGTACTTGATGTAAACAGCATTGTGCATCATGTGAACACCCTCCTGCTGAATCTGCTGTAGCTGTTCTCTTAGTGCTGAAAGGTTACGGGCAACGTGTACCATTATGACATAAAGAAGCAATCCATAAATTAGCACCACCAAAATCTGCAGACCCCAAGAACAAGGGAGTTAACTTGCCTACATACATAAATCGATTGCCCAAATATTTGCACATCACCAAACACGAGAGCTGGTATGACCACCCAATAAACTGACCACGTTTTTAGTCCATCACAAAACACCAAAACCTAATAGGGATAGAGTCATTGTTGGACAATTTCATAAATTATGGTGTTTTCGTATGCAGAACAACGCCATACATTACCACAACACGCGTTATATCATGGACCCGAGTCACCCGACATAATCAGAACTCAAGAACCACGGAAAAAGAGACCTGTTAACTTCGCTTGGATTCTTTCAACAATGCTTCCTGTAATTCTTGCAACCGCCATGAATCCAGCATGTTCATGAAGTTTTTAAACTAATCAAAAAAGTCTATCTACTTTCTTCTTAAATAACGGTTTAAAAAAGGAGGCAAAATCAATAATGGGAGTAGGTGGTACTCACGGCAAATTGAGGAATGGCCGCCTTGTAACCAGTCAGGGTCAAGTACAAAAGTGAGGCAAGGCCAGCAATGTTCCGGCGCTCTGACACGCTAAGATGCTCGTGCATAGTGCAGTACCCATGAGCAATAAAAAGGAAGGCAGTAAAGCACGCAGTCTCGAAGAAAATCCGCGACACGAAAACTCCAAAGGCTACCCAGAATGAGCAGATGCTCAAGTTCAGGCACGAATACCTACAGAAAAATTTATGAATCAAAACAGTATAGAGCAGCTGTGGTTCTAGAATTTTCCCAGGTAGCACATGGTCTCACAAATTGAAGAATCAGGTGGATGCTTTTAAAGAATCTGAGAACAGTAATATTACATGTTAAGACTATCTAAGTGACCAAGAAAGATACCAGAATACGAAGGAGAGGCTGAGGACAAGCGCCTTGAGCACTGGAACAACCGTCAAGCTCCGTTGCAAATTGCTAGACTGCGATTCCAACAGTCACCGTCTGGTCAATTGCTGCCTCTCATGCGTCTTAAATAACAAGTAAACATAGTACCGCACCCGCCAATCATTGTATAGTCATTCAGAAACTGTTTTCAATGATCTAAACTCTACAAGAATCCTTAGCTAGCTTGAAGGCATCCTTTGAATTGCACGTTTCCGAAGTGAGCCGCCAAGAGTTGCATCTTAACGACAAGCATACCTATGATTGATGATCTACAGCTAATAAACCATGAGAATATCTAATTCCAGGGCTAGATTGGAAGTCAATAGTACAGCGAGCGCAAACTTGATTATCCAACGCGCTCATAAACTTCGAAAGAAAGCGGCAAAAAGATGCAATATAAACCAATCTTCTCTAGCTTGACATCACTCCTCAATCAATCGGGCTTTTCTAGCACTTCCTGCTATACTATCCCGCACTTCTATAAACCCTCCTTTCTCGCTCATTCCGGAAGCTTGAATTATTTTTAAAAAAAAACTAAAACCTCAAGAACATAACACAGCAAAAACAAATTACCCTTTCACAATCACTTCACTCCGCAGCTACACAGGAGATGAGGAATCCAATCTCGCCAAATCAAAACACACTCAAGGTGTGAAGGAGTGACTATTCTTGAATTCTTTTGTTGTGTTCCAGATTTCAAGGTGGGCCACTTTTTATCCAAAGGAATCCGTCAGTGGTTTCGAATTAGTACCTGCCATCGCCGTTGAGTCCAAGTGTGGAGAGTCCACACAAATATTAGGACCATCCATGTAGCCAAGAGGCCTAAGAAGAGATGAGGCAGATGCTTATACGACTCCTCCCACTCACTGGGGTTGGTGATCACAGGACTCGGCACTTGCTCAATGGTAGAATCCATCGTTTATGGGGTTTGCGAGCAGCGCAACCACCTCAACTCCCCAACCTCACAAGAAATTTAATATTGTAAGCTCCGCGCTATAACGTCGCCCAGAGATCCATGTTGCGAGGCCTCACCAGGCTTCGCTGCATCTCTTTGTTCCACAACGATGATCTGTATACCGAAGTGGAGCTGCGCCTCTTGTACTACAAAGAAATGTTTGTGCCGTTAGCTTCCAAGTCTCCGCAGAAATTGGTGACAGATTATCGACGACTAGTTCAGTATGCCGCTTCTCAGGGGAGCCAAAAACGAGCTTCTCGGGTCCCTATCCGCACAGTCGGCAATCTTATCACCCCCTCGTAATATTACCCAACCCTTGTACGCGTTTCACAACACAACGATTCCTCGTAAATCTGAAGTTCTTCAAGGAGAGAGAGATTTGGTAAGGGGCATGTTGAATGGAAAATTATAAGGTCACGATAATATCGGCAGTGCGCAATTGGTTACTTCTTGAAACTTAACATTCTTCAGCCCTGCAAACCGAAGTCGATGATTAAATCCGTGAACCACCCAATAAATTCAGACTGAGGTTTTCCTCTTCCTCTTCCTCTCTTCCTTCTCAACTTCGTTCAATTCCCACACCATCAATAAATCCCTCCCACAAGAAACTATCTCCCCGCTAATTTCAACAACAAACAATCCCGAAGAAGACTCGCACACACCCTCTCTATAGCGTCTCAAATTTCAAGCATGTCACCACAGAACAAGAATGAAACATGTAGACACGACGATGATGCAGCCAGACTGACTGTTCCGATTCAAAGGATTGCCCGCATACACAAGCTTGGAAAACGAAGCAAGATATCGACAGGTTACCTGTCAATCCATACTTACACAAAGGCATCTTCCATATTTAACTTCTCAATCTCAGCAAAGAGAGCTGGAAATTGGATAGTAATGAGCTTCCAACCAGAGCAACTCCAGATATGAGTGATGAGGAAATACCGCACCTGTGTCGTTCTTGTGCAGCACTCGCCTCGAGGACTCAAACGAATTTAACTATAGGTCCTCCTGACGAGCTTCATTCCCTGTTCCTTCGCGGACACTCAGAAATAGTAATTACATCCTTGACGGTATTCCCCTTCATCGACACAGCCTTTACCGACTTGCTCTGCAGGAATCAATGCTACACGAAATCTTCGCGAATGCCCCGATCATCACGGTTAAGCCATTCCCATATTCCACAACAATTTCTCACCAATTTCACCGGAACTCTCAAGTGACAATCTGCTTGCTTTATCAACAAAACAATCTTACATGCACGACCATACTTCGGCACCGTGAGCTCCGGAACTGGATCCTTGGTGCGAAACGTAGTCGATGAAGTTAAACCAACTCCTCTACGACTACAATATGAAACTCATCAGCAAGAGCTACAGAACAATAAACTGGACTAGCCATAATGAATTGAGATTTGCTGCGACATGATTGTGGCATGACTCCTCCTTCAACTCCACAGGGTAACAAGTCTTTATCAATGTGAATTCTTTTCCACAGTAGTCGTCAAACTCAGGACAGATAATCGATGTGTAAAATGAATGAAAGGGAAACCGATCCATTTGCTAAATTTCTATGACTTCGCTGGAGTCCATTCGAAGACCAATGGGGTCGCCACACTGACCACAAACTGGACAAAATTAATATATCGACCATAAAATTGCCCTAGATCCAGAGATGGAGATTCCGATGATCGATAGTACAACTTTAAAGATACCATTTCAATATACACCTTTCTTTCTCTTTATGTATGTATGTATATATATATATATATATATATAGACGTATCGCAAAAAGCTCTAGAACACCGCCGCCGGCAACAGGACGCCACCGTGCAGAGCTTCCACTCATCAGCCTCAGCACCACGAAGACGGCAATGCACCTGCTTGTCACTAAGCTCACAATACAACCCGAATCCTACCAAATCAAAATTGGGTTTCCGCGTTCATCGTCCCATGAACCAGCCGAACCCAACAAAAAACAACAACAAAAACATTCACGCCCTGTTCGAAACCCAGCTTAACTGCGCGAAGAAATCATCGCTTCAGAGTTGAAGCCCACGAGATTGTCACTCGCAGACTCAATCATCAACAAGTCCCAAAGGGGGTGACCGACCACACACGCCTCGTGTTCCCCCCCTCCCCCCACCCACATTGCTTTCGTAGCTCAGGAGAAAGCTTGATTGCGAAACTGGCTCATCCATCTCCGCCTGCAATCTGAATCCGCCCTCCTGCTGCTGATCCATGAGCTTTGAGACACAGCGTCCACTTCGACGTGATGCTTCAATGCGAGCTCGGGAATGGGGGCCACCGGCCGACACCCGCCAGCCGAATATCATTCGTTCATATGTTATTCATACATCCAACTTCGTGCATCCACCGCCCCGGGTTCATTCAAATAATCGTGCTCTTATTCACTCATGCATTCATCCACTATTTCCTTCACGCTACAAATACATTCATTCATCTTAGTCCATGAAAGCCACTAAAGCTTTGTTGTATTCTCCACGGTTACCAAGGCACGAAAAAAGTTGTATCTTATTATAAGAAAAATGCATGTATACTCCAAAATATTGTCCATGGTAAAAATTATAAACATATTCAAACCATGTTTTCTAAATAATGTTTTTAATTGAACGACACAAGTATTTTTTTAAATAATCTAAAAATATATATAGAGAGAGAGTGATAAATATATATAGATGGTATTTCTATTTTTTAATTGAATAATAGCTGATTCTCTTCTTCAATTTATGTCTTTCCATAAACATGCTAAAATTCATCATTTGATTTTATGTGAAGGACTTAAAGATTTTTACAACATGTCTTAATATTGTCAATAACTTGTTGTGCTTCAAAAACTACAAAAAACTATAAAAACTATTAAAAAAAAACTAATACAAAAAAACTAAAACGAAAACAGTTGACATTATCTCATTTAATATAAAGTACGCACCGTTAAATTTAGAAAATAACCTGTATTCTATTTCTTACAATAAAATCAAATCGAATTCAACTGATATATTAGTTTTGTAAACTATTCTAAGATTCATTTCATTATAATTACCTTCTAACACTATCAAGTGGCTTGATTGAAGTCACGTGTAAGATTTTGCTTGTGTATAATCTGCAAAGACAAGGCTACCTCATTCCACAACCCCATCAAATTTAAAAGTACCACAAAAACATGTTCTTTTTCTTCAATAGACCATCTATTGTTTCCAATGACTCTTAAAAAAATTCACAATATTATATGTTTTTATATATTTAATTAGTATAAATTTTAAAAAATATACTTTGATCAAATTACTGTTTGAGTAACAGAAATTATTTACCAACTCTTGTATACTGTACATAAACCATGTCTTTCACCACATTGTGCATTGTTAACAGAAAACAACGCTGGCTTGTTTTTCACCATCAGTGAAAATTGATTATTTCTCACTAATACCACCGAGACAAACTATAACTCATCCAAACTTCATTTTGGTCTGACTTTTGTGTACAATACTATTCTCTGCATTCTTTTAAGTTTAATTGTTTTTAAATAACTGTTTTACAAGTTCAATGTATTACTTTGTATTTTATATTCCTCTTTCCAAAAGTTGTTCTGTCTTAATTTGGGTTTTATTCAATGTAAAGCTCAAAACCCTAAATTACTCAAGCGCTTTGCATTGAATAAAACCCTGTGGATGAAGCTATCAGGATCTTTGTTTATTTCATTTGCAAGGGAGCAAATTTAGGGCAGAATCTATTCTGAGATGCCACTGGATGGCTTCCTTTAAAAGGCAATTTGTTGGGCACTTTGCAGACGAACACTCACAATTGTGGAGTTTTCCACACTTAACTTAACATCAATTAATTTTGAAACAAAAATATTCCTGGCATATTTGAAAGGTAAAGTATTATGACCATGGAACAATGCACGTTGAATGGAATTCTTTTGCATTTTTCTTACAAATGTAAAAAAATCTCAGCATAAAATACTTTAACCGTGATTTCCTATGCCACAATACCTTTATATTGTGAAGTAAAAAAATATTAAAAGAGAAAAAGGAGATTCTTTTATTGTAAGTGTGACCTTTGGAATATTTATGGAGGTGGTTTGAAGAATAGCTCGAGATTCCTTTAAAGGCAAGTTTTACAATAATAATATTTGTTTCACGGAATTGGGCACATGACTGTATGCTAAAGTTTGGTTTAAGCATGTTTAAAAGATAAAATGATACGAAAAAAAGGGCTTTAACTATATCGTGTGTGAACATCACCGCACTTGATATTTGTGTGACATGTTCCCTCGTTCTCGGGAACAATGATCGCTTGTTCCCAAAGTAGCTTTCCACGTGTGCTACGTGGAGACGTGTACTGTTTTGCTGGCTTAAAGCAAGGCCGAGAGACTCTCTTTTGCCACTTGGAATTGATGACATGGCGTAATACGGCGCTTCGTGTTGATGACTCAGCAAGCTGTGGCGAATCGGGCATCGTTTCCTTTCAAAATAAAATATGAGAAAGGCGGTGTCGATTCTGTCCTGTGAGTTTGTTACACTGTCCTTGTACATCATTATATTAATTTTCGTTTCATATAAAGAAATCTAAATTTTGTCCAACATTTAGGACAAGACACATGGAAATAAGGTTGAATCTATCTATTTGATTAATTGGTTTATTTGTTTTAAAGTCAACTTTTTAACATTGTAAATTTTCTTGAAAGCAAATATATCAAAATGGACGTT